ACTGGAAAGATGGGGTGGGTGACTTTTCATAGTATAACCTTTGTGAGATTTTAGTGCTTTACTGTATGCACATGATAACTATTCAAAAAAACAAGCCCGTTTTTTGGACCCTAGTTTACTGACTCCATATTCTTGTAACAGCAAAATTAGAATTCTTTTAAGTTAAAAAAAACTTTATCATAGGAATTTCCAAGCATGTCTTAAGATAGGATATCCCCAGCTTCAACACTAATGGCATTTTGCAGATTGAGAGGATAATAAAATGTAGCTGTAGTTTGGATACATGTATCCAAATATACTACATTTTGCAGATTGAGAGGATAATAAAATGTAGCTGTAGTTTGGATACTACATGTATCCAGATATACTACATGTATTTCAGATATGTCCTCTGAAAATACCTGCAAATTTATAGAGAATGTTGGGTATGTCCTTTGACTTTATCCGTGCTTAGTTCCATAGTCTATAATTCAGTTTCTGATTGGGCACAGTGGTTCATACCTGTAATCCCAACACTGGGAGGTCGAGGTGGGAGGATTGCTTGAGCCCAGGAGTTCGAGACCAGCCTGGGTAACATAGGGAGAACCTGTCTCTAAAAAAAAAAAATTAGCCAGGCATGGTGGCGCCTGTAGTCTCAGGTACTGAGGAGGTTGAAGTAGGAAGATCACTTGATCCTGGAGGGTTGAGGCTTTAGTGGTACCACTGCACTCCAGCCTGGGCAACAAGGCGAGACCGTGTCTCAATAAATAAAGAATAAAAATACAGTTTCTGTGGTATAGTTTATATACCATCACACCTTTATAACTGACTGAGAATACTTTATGGTTAGTATGTGCTGTTTTGAAAATAAAACCTGTTTTAAAATGTGTTGCATTTTAAAAGTTTTAATCTATATTGATATTACTAGACATAGTTATATAGTTTGGCAACCCTGTTATATGTTCGTATTGTAAGGGTATACCTAAACCAGACTGGCAGTTAATGAGAGTGACTTGTCCTGTGTGCTTTGGCATATTTCTCTTTTGAATATATAACAGGAAAATACGGGAAGAATTGCTGAGTGTTCTAAACATTCTCATTTGCAAGGAACATCAGTAAGGAAAACAATCTTACCTACCTTATTTGAAGAGGTGGAAGCAAATTTAACCTTCTGTTAGCAAGTAGGAATAGGTCTGTACTAAAAATACACCAATTAGCTGGGCATAGTGGTGCACACCTGTAGTCCCAGCTACTTGGGAGGCTGAGGCAGGAGAATCGCTTGAACTGGGGAGATAGAGGTTGCGGCGAGCCGAGATTGCGCCACTGCATTCCAGACTGGTGACAGAATGAGACTCAGTTTCAAAAAAAAAAAAAAAAAAAAAACCTTGAAACTTTAGAATTATGTTCATGTTTGCTGGTGTTTTAACTCAAACAGGGACAGAAATCCTAGGGAAGTAACCCATATCACTGTTTTTCTAATAACTGCATTCATAGTAGAATAACACTACATTCACTAGTAGAGGTTGAGGGAGAGAGGAAAAGAAGGAATTACATGTTACAGGATACTTTTCTGTTCTTGTCTAGACTGAGGCTGAGGCGGGTGGACCACGAGGTCGGGAGATCGAGACCATCCTGGCCAACATGGTGAAACCCTATTTCTACTAAAATACAAAAAATTAGCTGGGTGCATTGGTACACTCCTGTAGTTCCAGCTACTCAGGAGGCTGAGGCAGGAGAATCACTTGAACCCAGGAGGCAGAGATTGCAGTGAGCTGAGATCGAGCCACTGTACTTCAGCCTGGTGACAGAGCAAGACTCCATCTCAAAAAAAAAAGTTTGTCACTTTTCTCCTGTTTAATTTTGCGTTTTTTGAATAAAGGATTTATGTCTTTTCCACATGGATTATTTTGAGTAGTACCAATACATTCCTGAAGGAGATCAAAAATATATATGCATAGCTCTCTTGGTAGCATGTGTTTGAGAAAGTAATATAAGGATTACATAGATTAGGGTTGCAGGCAGTTCTGTCCCTTTAAAGCCAGATCTTTTATTTACCTACTTTTTAAAGTTTTTGCAGAGATGGGGTCTCACTATGTTGCCCAGGCTGGTCTCAAACTCCTGGGCTCAAGTGATCCTCTCGTCTCAGCCTCCTGAAGTGCTGAGATTATAGGTGTGAACCAAGGTGCCAGGCCAAATCTTTGGTTTTTTTCCTACAAGTAAAACACCCTGAGGCTGAAGGTAATTGCTAACTGATGCAACGTGTTTTTCTTACTGCTTTTTTTCTGGGGATCTAACAAGGAATTGGAAACACAAGTTTTTGACTTTCGTTTTTCCTCCTCTTTATTTTCTGATAGTGTTTTCTTAAAGTCATCTTCCACCTGCCTCTGAAGTTGTGGAGTAGGAAGGAATCTGTTAGAATCATTTGGGGTTCAGTTAGTAGTGTCTGTGGTTAACTTTCTTTCGTGGTTTTGAATTTAATTTCACTATTTGACTAACACTATTTTTACTCCGACTTCCTCAAACACTGTGGGACTTAAACTGTGACAGGTGAAACTCAGTGCCTTAGGTGAAGGCTTGGTAGAGACTTAGAAACATAGAATTCTTACAGGGTAGCTTAGGATTCTTACAGGATAACTTAATTGCTTTTAGGTTTATAGCTTTATGAACTTTATGAGCCCACTGGAATATTTTCTCCAATTATTGGAAAGGCTGATTATCAATTAAACTTAACGAGTCTAAGGACCCTCTACTCAGAAAAATAGATGTGAGATCCTGTCTCAAAAGAAAAGTTAAAGTCAGGAAGAAGTTAAAATTAATGGTTTATAAGCCTTTACTATAAGTAAATGTAAGTTACATACTTTGAAGCTATTGTATTTGCCTTGCATTACAGCATATACTTGAGCTTGTAAAGCAGGTTAATCTTCTACTTTATTACGATGTTTGTATTAATGGTTAGACAGTTGTTTGACTCCTTGCCCCTGTATTCAGTAACTGAGTTACTGTAACTACACTTTATAACTGAGTTACAACATTTATAACTCAATACCAGCAGTAATTGAGATAGAAGAGTGAAGAGAAAGTAAAATGTAGCCTTGTAGTCTTATATCTTATTCAGAGCCTGGCCTGGTTATGTTTAAGCACTATTAGCAGAAGAGTTTGACAAAAGAATTTAAATAAAATACAGTTAACTTGGCTGGTTTAGTCCATAAGATAATAGTGACAGTGGTGGTGTCTGTGGAGGGAAACTGTATTGCTAGAGGACAAGGGTGACAGAAAGACTTGATTTTTTTTTTCCCATGCTTTTCCTTTTCTGGGGTGTGTGTGTGTGTGTGTGTGTGTGTGTGTGTGTGTGTGTTTTGTACCATGTGAATTTATTATATTATCCTTGGAGGAAAGGGGGATAAAACTAGTCTGGCCAAGGCTAATAAAATAAAGCCTCCATTGTAGCTTCTTTTAGTAGGACTTAATCTGTTATACCATAGTTAGTCACCTAGCGTATTAATAACCCACTCTGGTAGAGATTTCCTCCTAGTAACTGGTGACTTTTGTTCTTACATGCTTAATTGGTTTGCAAAGACCTACCATCTTTAGATCCTCTGTATTTGTTTAGCAGATACTTTAGTATTTTCTGAGTACACAAAGCAAATCTAATTCCATTATTTTCCTTGTTAAAATCCTTAAGTAGCTCCCTTTGCCTGTAGAATAAACTCAGGATTCTTACTGAGGTATGTTTAGCTTGTCAGTCTGGCCCTTGCTCATCTCTCTAACCTTAATTCTGTACTCCCTCAAGCCGATAGTGTTAGAAAAGTACTTGTAGTTCCCATAGCCAACCACACTTTTACATCTCTGTGCTTTACCACATGCGCTTTCTATTGAGAATTATCTCGCCTGCCTCCCTTGAACACATTGCTTTAGCTGTGTAGCCTTTGACAAGATCCCTCTTACATATCTTTGTTTTGGCACTTTTTGCACAGAATTAGAACTTGTTTGCTCTTGCTATTCAAGTTCCTTTATTTAGATCAAGAACTCTGTGACATTTTAAATCTTTTTATGCTTGTAACTTAATTTTTCAGATTCTTGAAGCGTGAACAAATAACAGCTACATGTTAAGGGGGGTAAGAGAGGACTGGTCCAATAGTTCCAAGGTCTTAAAATAAATCAAGAAACTCAATTACCTCAAATCGCTTGAACCATGAGTGCTGCCTTGCAGATATTGCTCTTTCCTTTAACTTCATCTGTATTTGTTCTACCTCTTATTTGAAACAATTGAATGCCATATTTGTTGGAAGAAGAGAAGGTCCAATACTTGGCTATTAATAGTCTCACTTTAATTAACATAATGTAGATGTTATTGTGACCTTGAAGCATTAATGTTAAGTGAGGATTTGTGTTGATGAGCATATATGAATGTCAACTCTTTGGAATACACTTGGTAACATGGTTTATTATTATATTTTCTAGCTCCAGAACCTGGGTATCAACCCAGCAAACATTGGCTTCAGTACCCTGACTATGGAGTCTGACAAATTCATCTGCATTAGAGAAAAAGTAGGAGAGCAGGCCCAGGTGGTAATCATTGATATGAATGACCCAAGTAATCCAATTCGAAGACCAATTTCAGCAGACAGCGCCATCATGAATCCAGCTAGCAAAGTAATTGCACTGAAAGGTATAAAAAATTGTCGGTTTTTCTTAAAACTCTTCCTGTTTGTTTTTTTGTTTGTTTGTTTTTTGTTTTTTTTTGAGACGGAGTTTTACTCTTGTTGCCCAGGCTGGACTGCAATGGTGCAGTCTTGGCTCACTGCAACCTCCGCCTCCCAGGTTCACGTGATTCTCTTGCCTCAGCCTCCCAAGTAGCTGGAATTACAGATGCCTGCCACCACCACTGGCTAGTTTTTTTGTATTTTTAGTAGAGATGAGGTTTCACTATTTTGGCCAGGCTATCGCAAACTCCTGACCTCATGATCTGCCTGCCTCGGCCTCCCAGAGTGCTGAGATTACAGGCGTGAGCCACCACGCCCAGCCAACTCTTCCTATGTGTTTATGCAAGTGCAATAACTAGAGTTTACGTTTTTAAGTATATTGATTAAATTTGGTTAAAGAAAATTGATCTGCTGATACCGAACTTGATTTAAACCACTTTAATGACTTTTACTTGGAATGTATCTGTGGAATATCTTAACATAGATCTACTTAGAATAATTTTAAGTTTTAGAATAAATGCATTTATATTTTGTATCTGGTATAAGACTGTGCTAAACATATCTCTCTACAGAGGAAACAAATTAGTGATTCATATTCTGGAATAGAACATACTTTACTAATATTAGCACCTAAACATGGCAGAATTTTGTATGATCATAAACTTGCCTTTGATTCTGTGCTTTTTTTTGTACTTCAGGCTTGTGTTTCACTTAGATTATTGGGTTCTAGAAAGGGCTTGAATTTACTTGTTTAAAGTGTGTTTGTATTTAGGTGGATATTAAAGCTCTTGAGTGAAGCGTATTTGAGTTTATTCAGACTAACTTTTTAATTGTCCCAACAAGGGAACTGTGCAGCTTAGAATAAACAGAGTTCAAAGACTCTTAGACTGTCAGGGAGCCTGTATTCCTTTGAACTTTAGGGTGAGACTAATTGACCCGTTAAAACAGATGTTTTTAAGAGGACTCGGTGAAAAACTGACTCTTAAAAAGGCATTTGATTGCCTATTTTTTGCTTTGTTTCTCATTTTGATAGAAGGAAGAAAAGTTCAAGTTCCCAGTAATTTCTGAGTTGTTAGAGGTGCCGAACTTTGACTTTGCTTTACATGATTTAAACTTTGTATGTAGTAATAATACTAGATGGAGAGTAAATAGGGTTGGGTAGGACTAGCATATTCAAACACATAAGTCACTATTACATATCTAAGATAGAAGCTCATCTCATCTCGAGGAAAAATTGTCCAGCTTTCACATGGGACCAGATGTTTTGTGACAGTAAGTGTTTTACTTCTGTTACTTCTATTTAGGGTATTAAGCTTCCTTCAGACTCTTTAAAGAATTTAAATTCAGGTCCTTAGCAGTTCCCATACCTCTCTGTTAAAAGGCCATAATTTTAATTTTGCCAAAATTCTTTTCTATTTTTAATGTTATTGTTATCTTATCACATTTCTTAACGCTTTCTTATGTGTGCAGATGGTGAGTTATCTTAAATTAGATTGTGTTAGTTATTGTCCTGTTCTATGAAAAGAATAAATTGAAAATATTTTCGGAGCATTGTACAATAGCATCATAGATTTGTCCCTATATGTCTGCACTATGGAGTCAAGCGGTCATCTCTTGTCCCCCTCTCCAAACCACTACACTTATATATATACTCCAATCCCGAATAATCTGGGGATTGAGGAAGGCAGCAAAGGAAAGTCAGTCAGTCCAAAATCCTGCTTCCCTCTGAAGCCAGTTTTGAACCTCTTGGCTTCTTTTTATAAACAGGACTGTAACTCTCACAATTTTTCAAGTCTGGTTGTGGTTTACATACTGTGTGGGATGGGAATAACATTCTTCATTTTATGAAAGAAATTTTTGCACATGTGGTAAGGAGGGTTGTAGTACAAAGCTGTATGTTTTGCCCCCCTTCTGTGTCGCCCCAGCACCTGAATCTTAAAATTTCGGTCCTTCAGGAGCCAGATTCTCTGTGTCTCAGGAATGGTGTTTTTCTTAGTCTTTAAAGACTAATCTTGATAGCCTAGTGATAGTTGTGGACTTTGGCCTCTATTAATTTATACCAAATCACATTTTGAACTGATGGATTTCAAATTACAAGTACAAGCCTTTGCATCTGACTTGGTGACTCTTAACACTCAAGGCAAATTTCATCCTTTTTTTTTTTAACTAAATCCTTGCTTTCTTAGTTGGATGAAACTTGAACTTTGTTCTTACCTCCAGTGTATTAACAGCATCTGAAACTATCCTCTTCCTTTGTCTCCCTTTCCTTTCCTCCAGCACCTCTACCTTCCCTTTGTTATCTTAAGCCAGTTAAATGTAGCATGCACTTCTTTTATGTGCTAGTGGCAACAAGACAGAATTGAAGCAGATCCTCTTTGTAAAAAGCAGTTTCCACAAGATTTATTTGGATGACAGATGACTGCTTTTAAAAAAGTATATTTTCTTTCCCCTACGTGTTTGTTATCAGAGTTGCTTTGTCTTGTGTCGATGCAACTAAGTTTATGTGTAAACATACTTAATTACAAGTATGAAGTTAACGGCTTTGTTTTCAATTATTGTTAAGAAAACTATTCATTAGACTTACTTTAAGTTGGGATTTAGAATTCCATGGAAGTCATACTATCTGTTTAAAGTGTGTTTATTAGAGGTAATACAGTTTTTGCTTAAAATGTAGATGTAGATTGCTTAGTCTTAGCTGTTACCTCTTTAATGGTTGCTGCTGTATTGATGCAACTCCTGTAGTTATTAGTCTCGTAATAGAAATATTTTTGTTTGGAAGTTACAGAGCTAGTCTAGGTAGGTATTCATTCTAAACTTTACGCTTTTAATGATTTATAATTCTTGATTTTGTTTTTAGCTGGGAAAACTCTTCAGATTTTTAACATTGAAATGAAAAGTAAAATGAAGGCTCATACTATGACTGATGATGTCACCTTTTGGAAATGGATCTCTTTGAATACGGTTGCTCTTGTTACGGATAATGCAGTTTATCACTGGAGTATGGAAGGAGAGTCTCAGCCAGTGAAAATGTTTGATCGCCATTCTAGCCTTGCAGGGTGCCAGATTATCAATTACCGTACAGATGCAAAACAAAAGTGGTTACTTCTGACTGGTATATCTGCACAGGTAACATTTTAACTAGTTTTTTATAAAGAAGAGGTTTAGAAAACTGTGGTGCCCAGAATGCAGTTTTATTTTGAGATTAGGTCTTTCTATACTCAATCCTGTTGAATTTCACTTATTTTGGAAGACCTTGTTTTTCCTCCCTCACACCTCTTCTCTTCTCCCTCCTCCCTCCTTCCCTCCTTTCTTCCTTCCTCGCTCCCTTGCTATACTGACATATAATTTCAGAATGCTCTTATCAAGCGTTTTGAGCTCTTCTGTGGAGATTGAGTAGAAATTGAGTTTCTGTAAGAATGATTTGGGATTTATTATGGAGTATTTACTGCAAAATGAATGCTTCTGTACCTTTTTGTTTAAGACGTATATGAGGCACATTTTAAACATTAATGTTAAGCTTTAACAAGATAATGTTTGGGGCTGATTTTAAGTTAAGAAGTATCAAACCTATATTGAGAGATGAAGTCACAAATAATTATAAATCCTGCTAAAGATGACAAAGCATTCTAGTTATTTCATTACTTGATGAATCTGAGAGTTTTTGGTTTATGGGTCTCCAAACATTATTCTCTTTGATCCTTTATAGCAAAATCGTGTGGTGGGAGCTATGCAGCTATATTCTGTAGATAGGAAAGTATCTCAGCCCATTGAAGGACATGCAGCTAGCTTCGCACAGTTTAAGATGGAAGGAAATGCAGAAGAATCAACATTATTTTGTTTTGCAGTACGGGGCCAAGCTGGAGGGAAGGTAAGTTTTGACTTTGGTAATTATTTTAATGAGAACTTGTATTTGACTTTCTGCTACGAATTAGTCATCTAATTTCAAAATAGCCTTCTCCTTTCCTAAGTAATGTATTTTTAGTATTCACATTTGTGGTGACTTAATTTGTTCAAATTTTGCATCTAGTGATACTTGTCTAAAATGAATAATGTTCTTTCACAACTCGTTCTAGTGGCTGTTTATATTCTTTATTTTGATTGCCAAAGTGCACATTTATATGCTGTACATCTAGAGAGTTTGATTTAGTAGGTGGTGCCCATAGTGTTTTTTTGTTTATTTTTTGCTTTTTGAGACAGGGTGTCACTCTGCCTTCTAGGCTGGAGTGCAGTAGCGCAGTCATGGGCTCACTGCAGCCTTGACCTTCTGGGCTCAAGTGATACCTCTGTCTCAGCCTCCCAAGTAGCTGGGACTACAGGCACGTTCCACCATGCCTGGCTAAATTTGGTGTTTTTGTAGAGACAGGGTCTCACTATATTGCCCAGGCTGGTCTCAAACCTCTGGGTCCAAGTGATCCTCCCACCTTGGTCTCCTAGTATAATCTGCATTTTAAATACCCTATATGGCTTGATATAGAGGTAATGTAGACTATAGTTGAATAACATTGCCATAAGTTAGTGGTTTTCAGCGGTGGCTACACATTGGAATCACCTGGACAAATTGTAGTACTTTGTATATTAGACTTAATTGCAGGTAATAGAAACAAGGTCTGGTTGATTGGAGCAATGGTCTATTTAATGAAGGATATTGGATAGTTTACAACAGCTAGGGAGGCTGTAAAACCAAGACTAGGAAATGAGGAGAAATAATGGAAAATTAGCAGTGGTCAGGGTCTCAGCCAACAACTATTCCATGGAACTCTGAGGACACTTCTGGATCCATGATTGCATTGCTGGATGCTTGGAAATTCGATTTGACTGCCATTTCCACTACCAGAGTAGAATCTCTGAAATCCTAATACCTTTGTGTTCCTAGCTCCCTGTTCGAAGTCCAGTTATAGGCAAGATCAGATGCCCACATCTTACGTCTGAGAGGTTTGGAAATAATTATTTGGTGTTTGGTGCTCCTAAAACAGAAGGCTGGTTCTACTACCAACAAAACTTGTAAAGAGTATCTTCCCTCTTGTTGTCCCATCAGGAAGAGGGTTTAGATTCTAGGCAGACCAAAAAATTTGAACTTCACTTTCGTTAGGACATGTGTCTCTTTTTCTTGGTAAGTAAGCAGTTTTTAAAAATTGAAATAGAGATTGCTTAAATATGATCATCTGTAGCCTGTCAGGAGAGAGGAAATAGTAAGTAATGAGATACAATTCTGCTTAAAATTTCACATAGCCCCTGAATTGAGGAATAATGCTGCCAATACCTCAATGTGACAAGGGTAGAAAGCACTGATATTTAGATCTGAATTGATGGAATTTAAACAGAAAAAAACACATAGTTTTAGAAATTAGATATTATCTTTAAAACATAAGGCCAGGATATTTATTGAAAAGTTCTACTAGAAAAAAGTTTCAATGTCATTTTGAACAGTATCTGGAAACTTGTTTATAGGTTATTGAGCCTGTTATTTATTACATGGTGCTATCCTGTCTGCCACGGCTTTTGAAGGAAGATACCAATTTTTTTCAGTGTGGCTAGTCATCCTAATGAAGGATGATGAGACCCTATAACATTCATATGGTATGTGTCTTGGATACTGAATTATTTTTTGTCTGAGTTCATTTCTGACATGACTAAGGAAAATATATAGTACTTTTTCATTGAGATTATTTACTTTTCTCTTGCCTGGCTTACGTGCAGCATTGGATATTTTAAACCAAAATGTTCTCATTTAGTTTATGGGATGTTTGTGATTAGAGAGACAACTCAAATTAGGTATATACATTCCTTCTGTTTTAGTGTATATGTATAGGTAGAGAAGAATTAACTTACGTTTCTATTTGGAAATACTAAATTAAAAAATTGAAAGCTAGGAGAAAAATACCTTTGTAGGTAATGTATTACCCTTCTATACCATTTATTTCAGGTAGATTATTTGAGGTATGATTATTTCAGATATTCAGCTGACTTTTTTTTTTTGAGATGGAGTCTCGCTCTGTTGCCCAGGCTGGAATGCAGTGGCACAATCCCGGCTTCCTGCAACCTCCGCCTCCCGGGTTCAAGCGATTCTCCTGCCTCAGCCTCCTGAGTATCAGCTGACTTTAAAAAATGTATTTATCTTAAAATAATACAGATTATAGGAAGCTGCAAAGACAGTACAGAGCAGTCCCCTGGGTTCTTTATCTAGTTTCTCCCAATGGCTACATCTTACACAGCTGTAGTACAGTAGAAAAACCAGGAAATTGACATTGGTACAATTGTATGATTCTGTGTCATTTTATCATGAGTAGATAACTATTTTATCACCACAGTGATTTCCCTTATGACTGTAGAGTCCCACCCACTCCCCCTCTCTCACACCATCCCTAGCTCCTGGCAACCACTAATTTATTCTCCATCTCTATAATGTTGTCACTTTAGGAATGTTACATAAATGGAATCATACAGTATGTGACCTTTTAAGATTGGCTTCTTTTTTTTACTCACCATAATGTTCATGAAAGTTTGTTCCTTTTTCTTACCAAGTATTCCATGGTATGGATGTAACCAAAACCATTTAACATTGATCTTCTGTAGAACATGTTGGTTGTTTCCATTTGGGGGCTACAAATAAAGCTTCTGTGATCAACTGCTAATGTGTAGGTTTATATACATTTTGATTTTCTTTTGAACAGTTACATATTATTGAAGTTGGCACACCACCTACAGGGAACCAGCCCTTTCCAAAGAAGGCAGTGGATGTTTTCTTTCCTCCAGAAGCACAAAATGATTTTCCTGTTGCAATGCAGGTATTTTAAGCAATATAAATAACTTTTTAAAAATCTCTCCTCTTAAAAGAAATTAACCCAAAGACTATTCATGGTAGATATAATTTAAGTGATGCTTAAAAGAATACTCTTACAAAGTTTATTAGTGAAGCTTTGTAAAATAATACCTTGGCCTTTCATGTACAGGCCTACCTTGGGCATATTATGAGGTTTGGTTCCAGACGACCACAATAAATTAAATACCACAACAAAGTGAGTCATAAGAATTATTTGGTTTCCCAGTGCAGATCAAAGTTACACTTACACTATGCTATAGTCTACTGTAAAGTGTGAAATAGCATATCTCTAGAAAAACCGTATACATACTGTAATTTAAAAATACTTTATTGCTAAAAAATGTTAATGATTATTTGAGCCTTTAGTGAGTTTTAATCTTTTTGCTTGTGGAAAGTCTTGTCTCAGTGTCAATGACTGCTGAATAATCAGAGTGGTTGAGGTGGCTGTGGCAGTTTCTTAAAATAAGACAGCAGAGAAGTTTGCTGCATCAGTTGACTCTTTCACAAAAGATTTCTCTATGCAATGCTGTTTGATAGCATTTTACCCACAGTAGATCTTCTTTCAAAATTGGAGTCAGTTCTTTCAAACCCTGCCAGTGCTTTACTGGCTAAGTTTCTGTAATAATCTAAATGCTTTGTTGTCATTCAGCAATGTTCACAGCACCTTCACCAGCAGTAGATTTTATCTCAAGAAACCACTTTTCTTTGCTCATCCTTAAGAAACAGCTCCTTTACTAGGAGATACAGTAATTCAGTCACATTTTTAGGCTCTATTTCTAATTCTGGTTTTCTTGCTATTTCTACCACATCTGCCCGTATGTGCTGCACTGAAGTCTTGAACCCCTCAATCATCCATGAAGGTTGGAATCAGCCTCTTCCAAACTCCTTTTAATATTGATGTTTTGACTTCCTCCCATGAATCATGAATGTTTTTAATGACATCTAGAATGATGAATCCTTTCCAGATTCACCATTACTTAAAAGTACTGTAGTGAATCCTTTCCAGATTCACTTGAATTTACTTTGCCCAGATCCATCAGACGAATCACTATCCAGGGCAGCTGTGGTCTTATGAAATATATTTCTTAAATAAGAAGACTTGTAAGTCAAAATTGCTTCTTTGATTCATAGGCTTCAGAATGGATGCTGTCTTAGCAGACATGAAAGCAATATTAATCTCCTTGTATATCTCCATCAGAGCTCTTGGGTGACTATGTGCATTGTCGATGAGCAGTAATATTTTGAAAGGAATCTTTTTTTTTCTAAGCAGTAGGTCTGAACAGCAGGCATAAAATATTTAGTAAACCATGCTGTAAACAGATGTGCTGTCATCAGGGCTTTGCTGTTCCATTTCTGTAGCATAGGCAAAGTAGATTTAGCATAATTCTTGAAGGTCCTAGGATTTTTGGAATAGCAGATGAGCATTGGCTTCAACTTAAAGTCACCAGCGTCATTAGTTCCTAATAAGAGAGTCAGCCTGTCCATTAAAGCCAGGCATTGACTTCTCTGTAGAGAAAATCTGTTGTTTAGTGTGACCGCCTTCAATGATCTTTGCTAGATCTTCCATATAACTTGCTGCAGCTTCTACATCAGTACTTGGTTTTCACCTTACACTTTTATATTGTACAGATAGTTTATTTGCTTAAACCTCACGAATCAACTTCTGCTACCTTCAAATTTTTCTTCTGTTGTTTTCTCACCTCTCTGAGCCTTCACAGAATTGAGGAAAGTTAGGGCCTTACACTAGATTAGGTTTTGGCTTAAGAGAATGTTGTGGCTGGTTTGAATTTTTTTTTTTTTTTTTTTTTGGGACAGGGGCTCGCTCTGTTGCCCAGGCTGGAGTGCAGTGGCGCGATCTCGGCTCACTGCAAGCTCCGCCTCCCGGGTTCACGCCATTCTCCTGCCTCAGCCTCCCGAGTAGCTGGGACTACAGGTGCCTGCCACCACGCCCGGCTAATTTTTTTGTATTTTTTCAAAATACAAAATACGGGGTTTCACTGTGTTAGCCAGGATGGTGTCGATCTCCTGACCTCGTGATCCGCCTGCCTCAGCCTCCCGAAGTGCGCGGGATTACAGGCCTGAGCCACCGCGCCTGGCCTATCTTTTTTTGTTCCTTTCCCTTTCCCTTTCCCTTCCTTTCCTTCTCTTCTCTTCTTTTCTTTTTCTTTTTCTTTTTCTTTTTTTTTTTTGAGACGGAGTCTCACTCTGTGCCCAGGCTGGAGTGCAGTGGTGCGATCTCAGCTCACTGCAAGCTCCGCCTCCCGCGTTCACGCCATTCTCCTGCCTCAGCTTCCCGAGTAGCTGGGACTACAGGTGCCCACCACTACACCCGGCTAATTTTTTGTATTTTTTGTAGAGACGGGGTTTCACCGTGTTAGCCAGGATGGTCTTGATCTCCTGACTTCGTGATCCACCCACCTTGGCCTCCCAAAGTGCTGGGATTATAGGCGTGAGCCACTGCGCAGGACCTCCTCCCTCTCTCTCCCACTCTCCCCCTCTCCCCCTCCTTCTCCCTCTTTAAAGAGACAGGGTCTCCCTCTGTTGCCCCGGCTGGAATGCAGTTGGTGTGATCATAGCTCACTGCAGCCTTGAACTTGAACTCCTGGGCTCAATTGATCCTCTTGCCTCAGCCTCCAGAGTAGCTAGGAGTAGGTAGGACTACAGGTACATACCACTACGCCTGGCTATTTAAAAAGTATTTTAGAGACAATGTTTCACTGTGTTGCCCTGGCTGGTCTTTTTTTTTTTTTTTTTTTTTTTTTTATGAGACTGAGTCTCTCTATTGCCCAGACTGGAGTGCAGTGGCACAGTCTCAGCTCACTGCAATCTCTGCCTCCTGGATTCAAGCGATTCTCATGCCTCAGCCTCCCGAGTAGCTGAGATTACAGGCACCTGCCACCACACCTGGCTAATTTTTGTATTTGTAGTAGAGTCGGGGTTTCACCATGTTGGTCAGGCTGGTCTCGAACTCCTGACCTCAAGTGATCTGCCCACCTCGACCTCCCACATTGCTGGGATCACAGGCGTAAGCCACCATGCCTGGCCCAGGCTGGTCTTAAACTCCTGGCCTTAAGTGATCCTTGTGCTTCAGCCTCCTGTGTAGCTGGGACTACAGAAACATACCACTGCACCTGGCTAGTATATAACATTTTTATTTGTATTTTTGTTTGAGACAGGGTCTCACTCTGTCACCCAGGTTGGAGTGCAATGGCGCGATCTCATGCACCACTACACCTGGGTAATTTTTTTGTATTTTTAGTAGAGTCAGGGCTTCACCATATTGGTCAGGCTGGTCTCGAACTCCTCCCCTCAAGTGATCCACCCACCTCAGCCTCCCAAAGTGCTGAGATTACAGGCATGAGCTACTGCACCCAGCTGTGTATAACATTTTTCTTCTAGAGACGGAGTCTCACTCTGTTGCCCAGACTGGAGTGCAGTGGCACCATCTCGGCTCACTGCAACCTCCGCCTCCAGGGTCAAGCAGTTCTCCTGTTTCAGCCTCCCCGGTAGCTGGGGCTACAGGTGCATGCTGCCATGCCTGGCTAATTTCTTTTGTATTTTAGTAGAGACGGAATTTCACTGTGTTGCCCAGGCTGGTCTCAAACTCCTGAGCTCAGGCAATCCACCCACCTTGGCCTCCCAAAGTGCTAGGATTACAGGCATGAGCCACTGCACCTGGCCTATGACATTTTAAAAGAGAAAAAAAAACTGCTCATATATATAGTTACATAAATTCAAAAGTAGAATCGTTTTATTTCTCTTTGGCCTGCAAAACATTACCTCAATGTGGCAAGTACTAGAGTTTGACTTTGTCTGTGGTCGTTTTCTTAGATGTGAGAAAATGAGACTAGGATTACATTTGTAAGCCACTGCACCAGTGCGCTTTCTCCATATCAGCAAGAAAAGCTGTTAGGTTTTCTTATCATTCATGTGTTCACTGCAGTAGCACTTTTAATTTCCTTCAAGAACTTTTGCTTTGTATTCACAACTTGGCTGGGTCAAAAAGCCCACCATTCAGCCTGTCTTGGCTTTGGACGTGTCTTTCTCACTGAACTTAAAATTACTTCTAGCTTTTGATTTAAAATGAGATGTAGAACATGTAGAGGCAATTGTAGGGTTATTAATTGGCCTAATTTCATTATTGTTGTGTCTCGGAATAGGGAGGCCCAAGGAAAGAGAAAGAAATGGGAGAACAGCTGGTTGCTGGAGCAGTCAGAACACACACAATACTTATCGGTTAAGTTTGCTGTCTTATGTGGGTGCGATTCATCGCACCCTAAAATAATTACAATAGTAACATCAAAGATCACTGGTCACAGATCAACATAACAGATATAATAATGAAAAGGTTTGAAATATTGTGAGAATTAATGAAAACGTGACACAGAGACACCGAAGAGAGCACATGCTGTTGGAAAATAGTGCCCATAGGCTTGCTCGATGCAGGGTTGCCATAAACCTTCCATTCGTAAAGATTCATCTGCATTGCAAAGTGCGGTAAAATGAGGTATGCCTGTAATACATAAACTGTGCTATCCTAAGTTTTGAATTGTCTTTCCTTTTATCAGTTTCATTCATACTCCTGTGTTATATAAGAGCTTGGAATATCCATATTTAAATGTGCTATAAAAATGAAGGAAACTTTAAATATTAGCTTACAATTTTTCAAATAACCCTCTTGTTCTAGAATTTTACCATCTCTGAAATAGAATTAGACTGAATGTTTTTATTTTCTGTTTATAGATTCATTATTTCACTGAAGTGTTGATTTTCTTTCTATAGATCAGTGAAAAGCATGATGTGGTATTCTTGATAACCAAGTATGGTTATATCCACCTCTATGATCTTGAGACTGGTACCTGCATCTACATGAATAGAATCAGTGGAGAAACGATTTTTGTTACTGCACCTCATGAAGCCACAGCTGGAATAATTGGAGTAAACAGAAAGGGACAAGTAAGGAAACCTTGAAACTTAAGCAATAAAATAAGATAACCTGATGAGTTGGGAACAATCCTGTACTTTTGAGAAATTACTCCCAAAAATAATAAAATAGAAAATAAACACATTACTGTTAGTTTTTTTCCAAAAAGTAAATGGTAACTTTGGATATTAGAAAATAAGATATATCAAAGCATGATGTAAGCTGATAAAAAAGGAAAATAATATATACCTAAAAATAGAGATGTGTATGAATACAAAGTGTGTCTTTAATCCTGTTTCAGAGAAACTGGTTTATAGCCATCTTGGACTGTATAGATGCATTACTGTCAAAAGAAGTGATTCTCCATGGAAAAAACCAATTTAGGGTCATATTTGACAGACTATTCTTTTTAAGGAGTTTTCTGTTATCTCTCCAAGGCAGAGCGATTATCAACTACAGGGAAAAGAATTCTACCTACATCCGTTTTCCTAGCTCTTTAATTAAGCATTACTATTACATGTTAAAAGGTGATATGTTTCAATACCTCTTGTGGGATGCCTGGAAAGTTAATCAATTTGGTAGGAAAAATATTATCCATTCTAAATTTGTCATTTTTGAAAAACCTGTTAATACCATCTAGCAAGCGGTTCTTTCTCTGTCATCATATTATTTTAATTCCTTTTTTTTTTTTTTTTTTTCTTGAGACGGAGTCTCGCTCTGTCACCCAGGTTAGAGTGCAGTGGCATGATCTCAGCTCACTACAACCTCCACTTCCCGGGGTTAAGCAATTCTCCTGCCTCAGCCTTCCGAGTAACTACGATTACAGGTGTGAGTCACCGCACCCAGCTAATTTCTGTATTTTGAGTGGAGATGGGGTTTCACCATGTTGGCCAGGCGGGTCTCAAACTCCTGACCTTGTGATCCACCCGCCTCGGCCTACCAAAGTGCTGGGATTACAGGCGTGAGTCACAGCACATGGCCTATTTTAATATGAATAAGAATATTTTACCAGGAGGTATCTTAATTTTCTGAAAAGTGGCTAAAAATTTTAAAACTTAATACTGTTACTGGTCTTGCCTTTTGGTCTTGCCTTTTACTCGTTTTCTTCCAAATTAGTATTTTTCCCAGATAATAAGCAAAGGAAGTAGGTGGGTTTTGTTTCTCCTTCATTCAGTTAATTTTTGAAAAATGTTACGTATATGAAGAGACAGTCCCTCTAGGGAAAGGGAGTCCATCCCTACCTACCCATGCCCCACCTTAACTCCAGACCTAGTTAGGTGCTTCTGCTCTGTACTCCTAGAACTTAACTTACGGCTTTCTCCTCATAACACTTAACATACTTACTAAAATTGCCTGCTTAGCTCTCACAGTCACTATTCTTCATTCGAAAAACGGATTGTCTTTAGTAAATTTTATTTCTAGCACCAGTCAGTGTCTGGGACAAAAGCAGTTTTAAAAATTCAGTAGCTTTCAAGTATTTAGTTGTGAGTCTCTCTCTTAGAAAAATCAAGAATAAGGCTAGGCGCAGTGGCTCACACCTGTAATCCCAGCCCTTTGGGAGGGCGACGTGGGCAGATTGCCTGAGCTCAGGAGTTCGAGACCAGCCTGGCCAACATGGTGAAAACCCGTCTCTACTAAAATACAAAAACTTAACTGGCTATGATGGTGCATGTCTGTAATCCTAGCTACTTGGGAGGCTGAGGCAAGAGAATCACTTGAACTTGGGAGGCAGAAGTTACAAAAAATGAGCCAAGATCACGCCACTGCACTCCAGCCTGGACGACAGAGCAAGACTCTGTCTCAAAAAAGAAATTAAAAAGGAAAATCAAGAATATATTGGCCTTTTTTGGTGAATTAGATTAGTGATAATTTAATAATCATGAAGTTGTGAAGCCAGGGACCTTTTTTTAAAAAAATTCTTAATTTAAAAAAAAAAAAAAAAAAAGACAGGGACCGGGCACAGTATCTCACGCCTGTAATCCCAGTACTTTGGGAGGCCAAGATGGGTGGATCACCTGGGGTCAGGAGTTTGAGACGAGCCTGACCAATATGGTGAAACCTGTCTCTTTAAGTACGAAAAAAAATTAGCCGGGCGTGGTGGCAGGTACATGTAGTCCCAGCTACTTGGGAGACTGAGACAGGAGAATTGCTTGAAGCCAGGAGGCAGAGGTTGCTGTGAGCCAAGATCGTGCCACTGCACTCCAGCCTGGGCGACAGAGCAAGACTCCGTCTCAAAAAGCAAGACTTTGTCTCAAAAAAAGAGAGAGAGAGAGAGAGAGAGACAGGGTCTTGCTATGTTGCCCAGGCTGGTCTTGAACTCCTGGGCTCAAGCGATGCTCCTGCCTTGGCCTCCCAAAGTGCTAGGATTACAGGCATGAGCCACCACGCCTGGCCCCTTTTTGTTTCTGCTGTTGTGCTGTTTTAAGATAATGCTTAACCTAAAGTACCTTAAACAATTTCATGATACATTCTTGGTGTTCATAACTCTAATTCTGGGAACTTGTTGATTGTTACTTTCCCTTCCTCCCAAATTTTATGTGCCAGCTACGTTGAGTAAAGAGGTATTTACAGTAACATTAGGGCTTTCTTTTAGTCTTCGCTAAAGTGTACTAACTCAGCGTATTCCCTGAAGGGATGAGTATGTGGCTTCTATCGGTTGAAAAAGCAAAATCAAGTAAAGTGATGTTATAGTCAACATCTGACTTAAATTCTGAATTTGATAGAACTGAGTACTTTAGAAGACACTGGAACCTGGAACCTTTTCTGTTCCCTGTAGGAGATCTTATTAAGTACTGGTTGCTAGAAATCTGCTAAAACAGTCTTTATGATAAGGATGAAACTGTGGATTCAGTATTTGGGGAAACCTAAGGCAGCAATCAATAGGAAGCTTCAGAAAATGTAATTGGAACTGGATTTTCTGTTTATCTTTCTCATTCTTTATAGGAGGTAAGATTTAAGTTAAGGTTGGGGCTCAGAAATGCAAATAACTATAAAGAAAGTAATTATTACTTCCTTTAAATAAGCCTTGAGGATGGAGGTCGGACCTATAGAAATAAAATCTTGGAGGTTAAAATTTCTTAATTTTCCCTGAAAGGAGTAGTAGAATAGGCAGGGCAAACTGTTACCTATCTATTTGGTTCACTGAGTTCTCAAGTATTTTTCAATTCTTATTGATTTGGGGACAGCCATTTCCTATATTCGTTTATTCAACAAATTAAATGTGTTTTATGCTACACTAATTGCATATTGCTAGTAATACAGTTAAACAAAGAGAATCCCCTTTTCCTCATGTGAACAGTGACTGAGAAACAATTATACAATTATATTAGGTTGAGAAGTGCTGTTATGGGTAATATGAGTAGTTTATAAGCTAGGGCATATGACTAGTTCTGCACTGGGGAAAGGGATGGATGGGTAGAGAAGGACTCCCTTTCTCTATGGCAGTTGACAGTCGTTCAGCTTTTGGGGCAAGCCAGAAAGTATTCTGCGGCATTGAGTGTTAAGGAAGTTTGAGGGTAGGTAACTTTTGCAAACAAGCAATTAGAAATTGGCCTTTACTGATATTATTATTTTTATTTATTTATTTATTTATTTTGAGACTCCCTCTGTTGCCCAGGCTGGAGTACAGTGGCGCCATCTTGACTTACTGAAACCTCCGCCTCCTGGGTTCAAGCGATTCTCCTGCCTCAGCCTCCCTAGTAGGTGGGACTACAGGCGCATGCCACCACGCCCGGCTATTTTTTGTATTTTTATTAGTAGAGGTGGGGTTTCACCATGTTGGCCAGGCTGGTCTTAAACTCCTGACCTTGTGATCCACCTGCCTCGGCCTCCCAAAGTGCTGGGATTACAGGCGTGAGCCCTTGTACCTGGCCTATTTTTCAAGCACCTACCATATTCCTTGCATTATGTTAGCTGCTTGAGGATTCAGTGGTCCCTCCCTTCATTGAGTATATAATCTGGTCTCTAGGAATGAAAATGTAATTAACAAAAATTACTGTAAAGTTCTTGTAAAAAAATCCTAAAATTAGAAGGAATATACCTTAAACAACTTGCAAGTGAACCTTAAATGTCATTTAGATATCATAGCTTCTTCAATGTCATTTTCTGTAGGTTATCAAGATTGATGTCCTCAGGAAGTTTTAAATTATGTGGAGTTGTCTTTCAGAGCTCAATTAAGTGGGAATGTTAATCTTTGATACTGACTATGTTAAGAATGAATAGATGGTATCAAAGCAGTTAGTTTGGACAATGAAGAAAGAAGTTATTTAGATTATAGAATAGCCATATTTTAGGAACCACATAATGGCCTAGCACCCTGTGATACTTGTTTTCAAATCTCCTTAATTTTTTTTCTCCTTGTCTTCCTTCCTTCCTTTCTTTTATTATTTTTTAATGGCAGCAAGAAAACAGCTGTCACAATTTCATTACCTTTGTGACTCAGTATTAACCTGTTCTAAATAGACTTGGTATCATTTGTATCAAAATGAACACATTGCAGCTATATTTTATTCTTTAAATTGCAGGTTCTGTCAGTGTGTGTGGAAGAAGAAAACATAATTCCTTACATCACCAATGTTCTACAAAATCCTGATTTGGCTCTGAGAATGGCTGTACGTAACAACTTAGCCGGTGCTGAAGAACTCTTTGCCCGGAAATTTAATGCTCTTTTTGCCCAGGGAAATTACTCAGAGGCAGCAAAGGTGGCTGCTAATGCACCAAAGGTAAAGCGTTATGAAAATGAAGTTGTCATGACATTAATCCATTGTTAATATTCTGTTTCTCATATTGCTAGAAAAGGAACCAGCTTTCTAGAGAGAAACTGTTTTTAGATTACATTTGGGTTACATTTTCCTTTAGTAGAATTCCTTGTCAGTGCCTCTAGATTTGGTTAATTTTCTCTGGATTTGATTAGTTTTTTAAAACCCGGATTGTTAGAAGGATATGTAGTTCTAGCAAGCTTTTGATTTACATAGATGTAATAATGTTTAGTTATTTAGGTGTAATACTATTTGACCTCATAGATGATGGTTACTGATTTTATTTTCATAAGTTGGACATGAAATAAATACTGTCCAATTTTTTGGTAGGTAGAGCTGTCAAAATTAGGCTGAATTTATTATCACTTTTGATGTTGGTTTATGGTGGACTGAATTAACACCTTATATTCCTGACCAATATTCATTATGAAATTTGTACTTAATTTAATATGAACTTGGGATAATACCTAGCTATAACTATGTTATGATTATAACTATTCTCTTACACATTGACATTGTAATTTAAGTTGATCTATTTTTGATTCTGGATAATCTTATAACATTGAACCAGGAGTATGAAAGATAGTGACTAAATATTTACTCTAGATGGAGAAGATTTGAAACTTCATATTAATAGATGGATTCATTCTTTTAAGATTGACCTAAGAGATTGATCTCTATGGGGTGATTAGTGTGATGTTTGGATCACTTTTGAAGTGTGTTTAACATTTCTTCTTCTTAAAGGGTATTCTTCGTACTCCAGACACTATCCGTCGGTTCCAGAGTGTCCCAGCCCAGCCAGGTCAAACTTCTCCTCTACTTCAGTACTTTGGTATCCTTTTGGACCAGGGACAGCTCAACAAATACGAATCCTTAGAGCTTTGTAGGCCTGTACTTCAGCAAGGGCGAAAACAGCTTTTGGAGAAATGGTTAAAAGAAGATAAGGTACTTTAAATTGTGTTGACATAATCTTGCTTTGATTGCATTAAATATGATATTAGCAAGTTAAAATCATTTAGGCCGCACCAAAATGTCTCCATTACTGCTGGTAGAAACAGAACAAAAACATACATTGCATAAGATGGATTCACTTATTTCCTTTTGAAAATATATTTATTTTTTCACTGGGCGTGGTGGCTCACGCCTGTAATCCCAGCGCTTTGGGAGGCCGAGGCAGGCGGATCACCTGAGGTTGGGAGTTTGAGACCAGCCTTACCACCATGGAGAAACCCCGTCTTTACTAAAAATACAAAAATTGGCCGGACGTGGTGGCAGCACCTGTAATCCCAGCTACTCGGGAGGCTGAGGCAGGAGAATCACTTGAACCCGGGAGGTGGAGGTTGCAGTGAGCTGAGATTGCTTCACTGCACTGTAGCCGGGGCTATAGAATGAGACTCAGTCTTAAAAAAAAAAAAAAAAAGTTGGATCTTAATAAGACAGGATGGCTGTCTAATTAGCAATGAGATACTGTTTCCCAGTGATTTCACAGAATGTTAGTTGGTGTTACATGGAAAAATATTTAACTTGGTTTCTTGAAATTTATTTAAATATGAACCTTTTCTAAATGTTTACTAGCTTTCTTTACTGTAGGTCTTTTCGATGCCTTTTATATTCACTCAGTACTTACTCATTTCTCTTTACAGAGAGCATATAATGGTAGTACGTTTTCCTGAGCACATTATTCCTAATGTGGAATAGTGACTGAGAAACAGCCAAAGGGCGTTTTTTGTTTCTAAGATAACAGACAAGTTTTAGCTGTCCATTAGTGTTAATTCCTTTCACACCACCATATAAAAAAACCTTTCTCCTCAAAGTTGTAGCATGGAATTGCCATTGTCAAGAACTGAAGTAGTATTGTTTAAAGCACTCTGAATAGTGAATAATATTTAATGTTGTTATTCTTTCAGCATTAGAATATATTAGTACTGTTTTTATATTATTAGTTCTAAGTCCTTGTTTCTTGATCCAGTTTCTGGCAATCTTGTAAGATACTAGAGAATAGTTTTATCAGATTTGGGATGCTTGGACAGGAGTCTCTGATGAAGAACAGCCACACTAGCGAGTATCTGAGGTCCATCCTAATTGATTAAGATAAGGCAGGGCTGAGTTCGGTGGCTCACACCTGTAATCCCACTACTTTGGGAGGCCGAGGCAAAAGGATCACAAGGATCACTTGATGCAAGGAGTTTGAGACCAGCCTAGGCAACACAGAGAGACCCTATTAAATAAATACACACTATTTTTTAAGAAGATAAGGGAGGATGAGAACAGCCAAGGTAACTGAGTTAACCTATGTAACAGGGTGAAAGCTTTTTAGGTATCATTACCCTTTTCTGTGAACAGTCAAATGGGACCATTTGTGGTATTAATAAAAGAGACATCAACTATTCATTAGCATGTTCAGTTAAGATTATAGACTCTGATACAACTTTCTATTTTTGGCATTAAATATCATTTATAAGAGTTAGTCTCCAAAGTAGAAAGTCAACTTTGGTATATAAACTGGAACTCTTAGGAAATGAATTTCCAGATTGGGCAGCTCAATGAGTAAGGCAGACTGAATAACACAGAAGACGGTATTTGCTTGTATACTACCTAAAAATTCTTAAGAGTGTCCTTCTTGCCCTGTAAGCTTAAATCCAAGTCAAGAAGATAGTGGTACTTAGATTCTTCAGACATATATAGGTTACACTGTGATTTAATAACTGACCTTATGGTAAACCTCATCTGGCTCCTTCAATATCAAATTTTCAGTTGATAACATTACATTAAAAGTTGCTTTTTGCCGGGCACGGTGGCTCATGCCTGTAGTCCGAGCACTTTGGGAGGCTGAGACGGGCGGATCATGAGGTCAGGAGATCGAGGCCATCCTGGCTAACACTGTGAAACCCCATCTCTACTAAAAAATACAAAACAAAATTAGCCGGGCGTGGTGGCGGGCGCCTGTAGTCCCAGCTACTCAGGAGGCTGAGGCAGGAGAATGCCGTGAACCCGGGAGGCAGAGCTTGCAGAGAGCCGAGATCGCACCACTGCACTCCAGCCTGGGCGACAGAGTGAGACTCTGTCTCAAAAAAAAAAAAACAAAAAAAAAGTTGCTTTTTGTTTTTGAAAAATTGGAGCCATGTGATGTGAGTCTGATATCTGAATATTCTTAGTAGTTAGGAGTGTAAGAGGTAGAAGATTCTGCTTTAAAGTACTTAAATCCCTAACAAGGTAGTTGATAATATCTATAAGATTGCAGTCTAGGTGAGCTTTTTATCTTTAAATAAGATTTGTGGAGAATTCTACTGAGACATTGCTGTGAATACCAGATTAAGAGTCTACCAGCCACAACCCCTGCATATTTATAGTATATTCTGTGAAACTAAGTACTTCTCATACTAATTATTATAGTGGATATAGTGTCAACTGCTCATTTCTAAAACAGTTGATCGATCACTAAACAATCTCTTTTTCCTTTGGACAGCTGGAATGTTCTGAAGAACTGGGTGATCTTGTGAAATCTGTGGACCCTACATTGGCACTTAGTGTGTACCTAAGGGCTAATGTCCCAAATAAAGTCATTCAGTGCTTTGCAGAAACAGGTCAAGTCCAGAAGATTGTTTTATATGCTAAAAAAGTGAGTTCAATGAAACAGATTCTCAGCATGAATTCATCGAAGCATGGACAGAGAAATTAGCCTGTATTAACTCTTGGTTACTTTAATAGTGAATTTCCTTTCATTTTGATTTACTTTGAAATATATAAAAATCTCTTACCCCTCATATCAAATTCATACTTGTTAAATTGAGACAATTACTCTTGCATGGCTTATCAGAATTTAAGATAGCAGACATGTTTAACATGTTAGAACAAACTTTTGAAATACTCATTTATTGAAAATGGATAAGCCAGGCCAGGCGTGGTAGCTTGCGCCTGTAATCCCAGCACTTTGGGAGGCCAAGGCGGGCAGATCACTTGAGCTCAGGAGTTTGAGACCAGTCTGGGCAACATGGTGAAACCCTGTCTTTACTAAAAATACAAAAAAGTAGCCAGGTGTGGTGGTGTGTGACTGTGGTCCTAGCTACTCAGGAAGCCAAGGTGGGAGGATCACTTGAGCCCAGGGGGCAGAGGTTTCAGTGAACCGAGATTGCACCTCTGCACTCCAGCTTGGATGACAAAGCAAGACCCTGTCTCAAAAAAAAAAAAAAAGAAGAAGAAGAAAATGGATAAGCCAGTTATAAAAATTGACAGGTGTTTATTCAAATATGTCATCATCAGGGTCTAACTGGGCACTTTAAATCGAAAATGAATTTGTGCTTTCACGAGTAGTTCTATATTAGCAAGATTTTATAGTAGAAAAAGTCTTTAAATGCTATGAAATTGAAACTTAGAAGCAGCGTTTAAGTCTTTGTTTGTTTATAGGTTGGATACACTCCAGATTGGATATTTCTGCTGAGAAATGTAATGCGAATCAGTCCAGATCAGGGACAGCAGTTTGCCCAAATGTTAGTTCAAGATGAAGAGCCTCTTGCTGACATCACACAGGTAATGTGATTACAATATATTTTGTAGAAGCTGATTGAAATGGAGAGTGGGGGCCAGCCATGGTGGTTCACGCTTGTAGTCCCAGTACTTTGGGAGACCAAGGTGGGAGGATTGCTTGAGGCCAAGAATTCAAGACCAGTCTGGGCAACATGTGAGACCCTGTAACTACAAAAAATTTAAAAATCAGCTGGGTGTGGTGGCACATGCCTGTCGTCCCAGCTACTCAGGTGGCTGAAGTGGAGGGACAGCTTGAGCCTGGAGGTCCAGGTTGCAGTGAGCTGTGATCATGCCATTGCACTCCAACCTGGGCAACAGAGTGAGACTCTCTTAAAAAGAAAAAAAAAAAAAGAAAAGAAATTGAGAGTTTGTAGAAATTAAAGCTTTGTCACTCTATATGGATAAACCTCAAATGCCTTGCAAAAAAAAGCAAGTTGCAAAAGAATGGATAATATGAAACCATCTGCATGTAGTTTTAATACATGCAAAACAAACATCTTATTTAGAGATGTATATGTATTAAAAATATGAAAAATACATGGGGATGATAAAACAGGATAGTAGTTGCCACTGGGTATGGGGAGAGGGAAGAGATGCATTTGGAAGTGTGAGTCAGAGTCCGTCATATTGTTTATGCTGTTGTTTTTCAAAAGTTTATAAAAATAAAGGTCAGTCTGGGCATGGTGGCTCACGCCTGTAATCCCAGCACTTTGGGAGGCTGAGGTGGGCGGATCACCTGAGGTCAGGAGTTTGAGACCAGCCTAGCCAATATAGCAAAACCCTGTCTCTACTAAAAATAACAAATTATCCAGGTGTGGTGGCAGATGCTTGTAATGCCAGCTGCTTGGGAGCAGAGGCAGGAGAATCGCTTGAACCCGGGAGGCGGAGGTTGCAGTGAGCTGGGATCGTGCCATTGCACTCCAGCCTGGGCAACAAGAGCAAAACTCCGCCTCAAAAAAATAAAATAAATAAAATAATAAAATAAAGGTCTATTGGTTCAATTGTATTCTGCTATTATGTAATATCTTGAAATAGTTTGTAGTTTTTATCAGAACTGAAAATAACTGTGTTCTCTAGAGGACAAAAATTTGTTCTTAAAGTGTTCATATTGTCCAAATAAAATTCTCAGGTAAAGAAAGAGCTCGTGCATAATTTTGTCTACATACTCTCCATAGTATCTTAAAACAATTTCTTTTAAATCTATTTTTTTTGTAGATTGTAGATGTCTTTATGGAATACAATCTAATTCAGCAATGTACTGCATTCTTGCTTGATGCTCTGAAGAATAATCGCCCATCTGAAGGTCCTTTACAGACGCGGTTACTTGAGATGAACCTTATGCATGCGCCTCAAGTATGTGTTTTAATGCTTTTTAGGCATGTTTCCAACATTGTTTTAGTAGTTGTGCCGAGCATCTCAGATTGTCATGCAAAGCTACTGAGATGCCTACTCCTTATACAAGAAAATTTAGCTATTATAATATTCTTTTGTACTTTAACAGTTCACTATTAAACCTTAATCTGTAATGGATGTTGAATTACTCATATAAATGGAGTGGACAATTAACTTTCCTTGTTTGTGGTTTTACAGGTTGCAGATGCTATTCTAGGCAATCAGATGTTCACACATTATGACCGGGCTCACATTGCTCAACTGTGTGAAAAGGCTGGCCTACTGCAGCGTGCATTAGAACACTTCACTGATTTATATGATATAAAACGTGCAGTGGTTCACACCCATCTTCTTAACCCTGAGGTATTTCAGTTTCTTACCTGATAGATGGTGTTAGTTGTGATTAATAGGTGCACTGAAAATGTGTTTGTGGTACTAAATATTAATGATTTCATACCACCATGAGGTTCAACGTTATTTCATTTATTCATTCATTCATTTATTTTGTCTTGTAGTGGTTAGTCAACTACTTTGGTTCCTTATCAGTAGAAGACTCCCTAGAATGCCTCAGAGCCATGCTGTCTGCCAACATTCGTCAGAATCTGCAGATCTGTGTTCAAGTGGCTTCTAAATATCATGAACAACTGTCAACTCAGTCTCTGATTGAACTTTTTGAATCTTTCAAGAGTTTTGAAGGTAAGTAGGAGTTTTTGAGTTTTTTAAAAAAGTACTTAAGATAGCCAAGAAGAGGTATGCTTATGATCAGGCTATTGGAAATTTTGTCTTTTTTTTTTTTTTTGAGACAGAGTCTCGCTCTGTTGCCCAGGCTGGAGTGCAGTGGCCGGATCTCGGCTCACTGCAACCTCTGCCTCCCGGGTTTACGCCATTCTCCTGCCTCAGCCTCCCGAGTAGCTGGGACTACAGGCACCTGCCACCTCGCCTGGCTAGTTTTTTTTGTATTTTTTTAGTAGAGACGGGGTTTCACCATATTAGCCAGGATGGTCTCGATCTCCTGACCTCGTGATCCGCCCGTCTCGGCCTCCCAAAGTGCTGGGATTACAGGCTTGAGCCACTGCGCCCGGCCTGGAAATCTTGTCTTTCTAAAATTTTGTTCTATGGGACATTTTAATTTTTATTCAATAAATGTTGTCAAGGCCCTTTTATGTTGGATCCTAAGGATATGCAGTGAACAAGACCATCTGTTTGGATATTTTATAGATGAATGAAAGGTAGAATTTTAAGAGAAAAATATGTAGTGGTGTTGAAATTGTATAAAATGAAAATACAGGTTGAGTGTCCCTAATCTGAAAATCCAAAATGCACCAAAGCCTGAAACTTTTTGAGCACCAACATAATGCTCAAAGGAAATGCTTGTTGGAGCATTTCAGAAATTGGATTTTCAGATTAGGGATGCTGATCAGGTAATTATAAAGCAAATATTCCAAAGTTGAAAATTTGAAACATGTCTGGTCTCAAGTATTTTGGATAGGGGATACTCAATCTGTACTAATGATCGGGTATAATAACATTTTATGCTTATATGTCTGACTCTTACAATAGCAGGTGATTCTCGCCAAGGGCATTTTGTGATTTGTTGCTATTTAGCAGAATTTCTTAACCTTAGTACTATAGACATTTAAGGCTGGATAATCATTGTAGAGGGGTATTCCTGTAGATGTAGAATATTTAGTAGAATATTTAGCAGCATTCCTGGTTTCTACCCACTAGATGCCAGTAGCGTCAGCTCCACCAGTTGTGACAACCAAAAATGTCTTCAGACATTGCCAGTGTCACCTGTGAGGAAAATCACCTCAGTTGAGAACCACTGCTATGCAGGGAACTAACGTAATCACTGTTGGGTGGCTAAATTCTGGTCCTCAATTGCCTTTCTCTCCTCTTTGTAGTAGTAGTGCTCTATTGAGAAGGGGTAAGAGAGTCTACTAGTTTTCTTAATGTTTTCTTAATTTTCACAGTTTTACACTGTTTAGTACAGCATTCACTAGCCACATATAGCAGCTATTTACATCGAAAGTTATTAAAATTAAATAAAATTTAATATTTAGTTATTCAGTCACTCTGGCCACATTTCAAGTGCTTAATAGCCACGTGTGGTTAGTGGCTATTACATCGGGGGGCAAAGATAAGATTTTCATCATTGCAGAAAGTTCTTCTGGACAATACTGCACTAAATTCTTCCCAAATTATTTTGTATGTTTCCTATAAACTGCATATTGAAAAACACCAGGTATTGGGGTCTTCATTTAAAATTTCCCATATAGGGGCACAGTGGTATATGCCTTTAATAATCCCAGTGCTTTGGGAGGCCAAGGCAGGAGGATTGCCTGAGGCCACAAATTCAAGACCAGCCTGGGTAACACAGCAAGACCCCATCTCTACAAAAATTTTCTTAAAAATTAGCCTGGCATAGTGGCATGCACCTACCTACTTAGGAGGTTGAGGTAGGAGGATTGCTTGATCCCAGGAGTTTGAGGCTGCAGTGAGCTATGATCGTGCCACTGCACTCCAGCCTGGGTGACAGAGACCTGCCTCAATAAAAAAGAGAAAAAGGAAACATTGGGTTGAATTGTCTGTTCTTTAGGATTAAAGTGCAAATCCATTTTACTGATCTGATTAATGGAATAATTAGTATTTTTATCGAGCTTTTTAAGCAACCAACTTATATTTGGGAGTATTCAGTGTAACAGTTTTTTAATTGCATAAATGCTTTTCAGTCGTTCTCAAAAGTGTGCCTATGCTTAATTGTAATTACTTGTTTCTTTAAGGTCTCTTTTATTTTCTGGGATCCATTGTTAACTTTAGTCAGGACCCAGATGTGCACTTTAAATACATTCAGGCAGCTTGCAAGACTGGGCAAATCAAAGAAGTAGAAAGAATCTGTAGAGAAAGCAACTGCTATGATCCTGAGCGAGTCAAGAATTTTCTTAAGGTAAGTGGTTTTGAGTAACGTGTTTTCTGGTTGGATTCCAATTTAGCAGTTCTACAAGGGTTTGGTCGTAGTTCAAAAATATTTTTTCCCTAAATGTGAAATTGTTAGCATTCTTAAGTTGTGTGCTGGATTATTTCTTCCAAACATAATATTCTGTGGTTTCCTTTGAAATACGGAAGGAAATCGGTGAGTAAGAATGACCATCTGTTTAAAAGAAGAAGAAAAATAGCATTATTTCAAAGGAATTTCCTTTATTTTAATTTTGGATGGAAAAATTTAGAAAAGTGGTTATATACTTTCAGAGTCATTTGAGAATCATTTAGGCTTTTGAATATTAACATCAGCTTGCTCTTCATACCATTTTGAGGAGCCTCTATGGTAGGCAAGGGGATCTGTTATCTAAGGAATGTATAGGCTTACCTCTTTCATCAAGTTTGCCCAACTCTAGAAACTAAAATATTATTCATATATAATTCATAAATTAAAGATAAGATCAAACAAAATGCTCAGCTTTGTGATACATGAAATGAGTTATAGAGAAGTAAGGACCACCTGTGTTGCAGGGAGGAGTAATGGTGGAGACATTCTGAACTCTAGAAGATCCCTAAGGGCAGTTAATTTTGTTTAATGTTTAACTTAGCTTTAGCTTTATTCTACCAGTTACTTTGTGAGGGAAATAAAACTTTAAAGTTGATAGCTATCTCTAAAAGACCAGGAAAACTACAGAACACTTAGATTACTGCTCTCCACTGCCTATTATATGTGTGTGTGTATTTTATATATATATATATAAAATGATTCCTGAGACTTTATAGAAAGTGCTGAAGTATTTTTTGTCTTGGAAGAATTTTAAATTACAAGTGAAACCAAAATGTTTATTGTAGAATACAGTACAAAAAGTAGGCTTTTCCTGCTCCCAGACCATCATCATTTGTGCCTATGGTTGCGCTGGCAGATTGTTCTTTTGAAGAATTTACTACCTGGGCTCTAGATGAAATAGCAAAACCCTTAGGGATTTTAGTGTAATGAGGTAGTCAAAATGTTGAAATTGCTCTACATTTTAGATTAAAAGATACACTTTTCAAAAAAGTGTAGCTTTATAATGTCTTTGGCCATCATGAATATTCTGGGTAACCTAGCTAGTATGCTATGTTTGGACCAAAACTTTCTGGTATCAAAAAACCCCTCCAGATGAGAAAGATTTGATACTCTATGCTTGACTAGTGTACCCATACTACTGATTCACTTCCTTCTGTGAGTATCATTACTCTTTCCTTCAAAAAAAAAAAAAAAACTGCTACCAGATTCTTTTGGGGGCAGGGGGTGTTGGGGGTTTTTTGTTGTTTTTCTTTTTAAGCTTTGAAGTTCAGGGGGGTGCATGTGCAGGTGTGTTATATAGGTAAACTTGTGTCATGGGGGTTTGTTGTACAGATTGTTTCGTCACCCAGGTATTAAGCCTACAACCCATTAGTTTTTTTCCTGATCCTCTCCCTCCTCCCATCTTCCACCCTTCAGTAGGCCCCAGTGTCTGTTGTTCCTCTCTGTGTCCATGTGTTCTCATCATTTATCTCCCACTTACTAGTGAGAACATGCAGTATTTGGTTTTCTGTTCCTGTGTTAATACTACCAGATTCTTACATGATTTTTGTTTTTATTGAGCCCTCAGCTTTTATGCTTAAATTGTAACTTCTTTAGCTTTGGATTTTAATATTTGAGTTACATATATATGGAAGGCAAAATGAAGTTAACTGCTATCATTTAATTATCACATTCTTGAGCTTTAAAAAAATCCTCTAGTAAAGACATAAAAAATAATCCTCCGGTTACTAGGATGGTACTGCCTTAGGTTTGCATATCCCATGGGATCTAATCAGATGAAGATTTCCCCTCCACACTTGTGAATTAGGTGCAAGCCTGATATAGTAGGGGTGTGGATGTGGATTATGAGCTTTTGAGTCAGTCAGACCTGTTTCAAATTCTACTTAGCCATTGTTTGTTCATTCAGTATATGTCTAGCCGTTACCTCAGGCAAGTTAATGAATGTGCCTCAGCCTCAGTTTCTTCAACCATAAGCTATGTTTATTTATCAAGTACCTTGTATACTATAGATGTTGAGGTAGTAACTATTACTGATAAGTGATAAGCCTTGGAAAAAGGTGGAGTCAGCTTAAATGGGATTTCTGTCAGGCAGGTATTTATTTCTCTTTGATATCAATTTGTACCTGACTCTTTGAAGGAATTTACTTCCGGCCAGGATTAGAGGTGAATTTAGTGTCTTATGTCTACATAATTTGAGATGGGAGCTCAATACTAAGATGCAACTATCACATTTATCCTCTGATGCCAGTGTTGAGGATGAACATAATAGATTCCTTGTTAACCTGTAGTACATGGTTACGATGCCTCTTACCACTGTCATTAAACTTAATTTTAGAGGTACTAGCTACATGATAATTTACTGGTGTTGTAAGTAAACCCTGTGTCATAAGAAAAATACCGTTGACTCTGATCTTGAATATTCGAGTGCCAATTGTGTGTTAGCCACCAGGAATAAAGAGATTGGTAGAACATAACTTCTCCTTTAAGGTACCCTGTGAGCAGGATAAAGTTGTGTCATTAGCATCACATGGCTTATGCCCTAAGTTTGTAGAACTGTAAACTCTCTGTAGAAAGCATGTAACTGTTCATCAGACCCATAATCTGCTCCTTGCTACCTCTGATCTTATTTTCTACCTTTCTTTTTTTCTTCTTTCCTGGTTTATCTTCAACCACACTGGCCTGCTTGCTATTCCTGGAACTCCCCCAACCCTGTCCTGCCCAAGGGCCTTTGCTTGTGCCCTGTACTACTTATTCTCTCATGACCTTCTCCTTCTTTGGGTTTCTGATTGAATGTCATAAGAGAGGATGTCTCAGGTTGCCCTGTTAAAATAGAACCCATTCCTACCCCATTTTGCTTGTTTTTCTTTATAACACCACTGTGTACGTCTCCTCCCACTAGAATGTAAGTTCCTTGATAGAATGGACTCTGCTTCCTTTGTTCCCTGCTGTATCTCCAGTAACTAAGAACAGAGTCTGATACTTGGGTACTCATAAATATTTGTTAAATGAACAAATTTATGTTGAAGAAAACCTCTATGTTAATATAATTTCAAGTTTGATCTTAAAATCTTTAACCATTATAACTGGCGGTTAATTAAACATTTAGTAGGTAATTTAGTATTATTAAAGTGTTAATAACATTTCTACCATGTATAAAATCATGTGCAAATTTTAGCAATCAAGAAAATAACCTAGATTTTGTCTTTTTAAATCTGAAATTTTATTTTGGAATACAGTTGGTATTCCACAAAAGTGGAATTATTTGCCACAGAAGTTTAAACACCTATGCATGAAAATAAAGTAATCCTAGATTATTTGTAAGTGATAAAGTTAACAAAAATATTTTATATGTGTGTAGGTAAGATGACTAGTGTGTTGATCCATACTTTTTTGGTGTTCATTTAGTAGGAAAAACATAACATACTAAAATTTTTGCGTAGATAGATGCAGACAGATTCTAGAAATGATTGTAACAGCTATTAGTGCAGAGTTTCCATGGTGTTAAACAATACTTGCTTTAGAAAACCTTCCTTAATGTCGAAAATGTGCAGCTTTACAGACATTTTTATTTTTTAATTTAGGATGGCTAAATTAAAATTAAGATTTACCTTGGTGTTCTTGGAACACTTCATAGACTAGTCTTTGTATTATTTATAATTGAGTAACTAATATCCCCTAGTCTCAGGAGCCATTTTATTCTAACCTTGAAAATAATGTTCTTAGTGGCCATCACTGGGGAAAGTTCTACCCTACTTAGTTCTGCTTCCCTAGTAGACTATGTTAGAGGAATCATTTATTGAAGAATGTTTCACTGTGTATAAATGAATTCCTGATGGAAACTGTTGTTTTTTGTGCTCTACCTTATGTCTGTGGAATGTAACAGGACATGTATCAGGTAAATGCCCAGTACAGGTTTTACTTACCTGTCTGTAACATCTTCTATGTCAGTCTATAAGTAGGATTGTAGTTTGGTATCTGTAATGGAATGGTAAAAGCAGTTGGCAATTTAAAGAGGTCTTTTCTTTAAATGCTGTTTTTTTTGGGGGGTGGGGGGCGGTTCTTACGGCCACATGTAGTCACCATCATGCTGCTCCTTGTAGGCTTTGTTATAATAGAGTATTAGAGACTGGTTGTCTAGATTGGATGTGGGGAGGGATAGAAAATCATTAGTTTGAAACAAATGTGAGCCATTTATGCCATATGTTTGACAATGTGACTATAGTTATTAAGTTGATTTCAAATACAATGGAAGTGTGACTACCAATGAAAGTCCCAGTGTGGTGACTCTCAGATGAGTGGCTCTCATCTGAGAGCCACTGCTGGCTCAGGTATCTTAATTTGTTACTCTTGCTTTCTGGTAAAGGGTGTGTATGGGAAGGACCTGGTATCTTGCTGTGTGAATCCAAGTATTGCTTAGTAAAAATTTACTGAAACTGGGATGTACACACTCAACTATTGGGACGTTCTTTCTTTAACAGAAGAGCCATGCTTGTGTGAGCCTCTCTTGTTAGTGTAGAACAGATTCTCATATTTTACATAGATTCGATACCTCATAGAAGGAGAAAGTTAAAGCTTCCTTTTGTTTGTCTTTTTTTCAGGAAGCGAAACTAACAGATCAGCTACCACTTATCATTGTATGTGATCGATTTGACTTTGTCCATGATTTGGTGCTCTATTTATATAGAAATAATCTTCAAAAGTATATAGAGATATATGTACAGAAGGTAAGTATGTAGGTAATGTAAAGGTATAATCTTACTATAGATTTTATTTCTCATATTCTGGAAATCCTTTTGAAACTCTGTGCTCAATAAGAGTGGTCTGCAGCTTTTAACGTGGGTTTTTTTGTTTTTGTTTTCGAGACAGGGTCTTGCTCTGTCACCCATGCTAGAATACAGTGGCACAATCATAGCTCACTCTAACCTTAAACTCCTGGGCTCAAGCAATCCTCCTGCCTTAGCCTCCCAAGTATCTGGGACTGCAGGTGCATACTACCATGCCCAGCTGCTTTTAATACTTTTTTCCCCATAAAATTCTACATGCTTTCCTAGCAAGCCGACTCAGGGAAGGGGAAAAGAAATGCTTGCCAAGTGTGTAAAATAGAAGAATAGAACTGCTATTGTTGAAAAAGTTGGGTGGCCTACGGCCCTACTAACTTGATAGGCCTTGAGGTATCCATGTAGAAGCCCTAGACTCTAAAGCAGAGTTTTCAAACCATCTTAAATACAGCTATTAGATACTTCACCTTCTAACTGTAGAAACAGGCAGTATTGCTATCATGGGAGCCTTTTAATTAGATAGTCTTGCATAGTCATCTTTGACTGTAGTTTCTTTGGACTTATTTATCATATGGAACAATGCTTGGGTAACTAATAGAGAATATAGTATATGTGCTTTCAATACTTATTAAACCATGAAGTCTTGCTTTTAGCCGGACCTCCTGCTGAATTCCTCTATCTAGTTGCAAATTTAGACCCTCAGTTTATTACTGAATTTAAAAACTGAACTTAAAGAAAAACTGAGCTTAAAAGCGATAGAGATAAATGGTTTTATTTTTTCTAATTCCTCTTTGCTTTTAATAACAGTGACATTCTTCTACTTTTTTTAACCACAGGTGAATCCAAGTCGACTTCCTGTGGTTATTGGAGGATTACTTGATGTTGACTGTTCTGAAGATGTCATAAAAAACTTGATTCTTGTTGTAAGAGGTCAATTCTCTACTGATGAGCTTGTTGCTGAGGTTGAAAAAAGAAACAGGTGTAGTACCATTTTAACGGGGATAAGTTACTCTTTCTTAGCATGGCAATAGATAAAAATATAGGTAGTCAGTTGTTCCAAAACTACTCAACACCACGTGGAGAATAATTTTCTGAAGACACCACGTAGAGGTGATAAGCTAGCTAATAGCGCCCAAAAAAAATCTGTTTTCTGAAACATTATAGCTGTCATAGCATATCTGTTAACCTGGTTGATCCTTTTTTTGGCATGTTTATAATTACAGCTATGTAGTTTGACTTTATGTGTTTTTAATATAAACTATGTACTAAGTCTCCTGTTTAGTTAGGTGTGATACCTATGTATTTAACAACTAATTATTTACTGATCAATAGTGTGGTGTTTCCAACCTGAGAAAGCTGCTTAATAAAAACAAATAGCGTGGTGTTTATTTAAGTATGAGTAAAAGAGTTCCCTGTGCAACTCTTGAATTCAACTGATGTTTAATTTATAGTACCTTAACATGATAATACATGATCATATGGATTTCCAATAGAATATAGTGTAAGTGCTTCTAAAACTTACAGACTGTGAAGTCTTTTTTTAGCTGGAACATTCTGAGGAACTAGTGTTTAGGAAGTACTGATGTAAATGAGGGTGGTGAGGTGGTATGCTAGTGGGAAGTTCTGCTGTTTATATAAGAAATTAAGAAAGTGTGTGGGATTTCATTTTAACCTGAGTTGGTATAGGTGATCTACTAATTATATTCTTAGAATTTATATTAGAATGTTTCAAACATGGAAAAATTTTGCATTTAAGGGTAATAGAGATATACAGTTAATACTGACTTAAAGGTTTGAGCCTAGTTTCAAGTAATTTCATGTCATAACAATTTAACATTTAATAAGAGGTTCAGTTGAGTCTTAAATCTATTACCTGAAAATAATCTTATTGCATATTCCAAGCAAATGGCAGTTACAGTTAGATAATTTAGTCTTTAAGTGACAAATTATATTGTGACAAATTATATTGTGAAAAGCTAGATTCACCTCTAAGTCACTAGTCTAGACATGCCTTAGCTAATTTTTATTCCTTAAGTTGACATGGCACATCTTGGATTGCGCATGTTTTTAGGAGCTGGATATTCGCCTCTATTTATTAAAATTGTCTTCTCCCTAATGGGAGTGTTCATAACAACCATGTGAATTGGTAGACAAAATAACAGAATAATGCTTTTTCTTTGGCTACTTTTAATGTTAAATCATTGGTAAAAGAGGCTTGGGCCAGGCGTGGTGGCTTGTGCCTGTAGTCCCAGCTTCTAGGGAGGCTTAGGTGAGAGGATTGCTTGAGCCCAGGAGGTCAGGGCCGCAGTGAGCCATGTTCCCACCACTGCACTCCAGCTTGGGCAACAGAAGACCCTGGCTTTAAAATAAAAATAAAAGCAGGCATGGTCATCAGGACTACCAAAACAAGCTATAGTATAGCAAAACTGTGCTCCTTGATGGAGTGTTTATATGACAGCTACAACCATTAAACCCAGAGCTTCTAAAGCTACCAGATTTTATTCCCAGTATGTATTTAGGGTTTGGCTGTAGGTAATGCTGTAAGTTAACTGTGTTAAGAGCTGAAAGAACTCTCAGATAATCTGGCCTATATAATATCACCTCCCCATTCTATCCATAAACAAAATTTCCTAAGGTCTAGATATTTTGCATGTTATAAAGAAAGGACACTGTGTGACTCTCTAATCTTTTATTCAGATGTAAGCTGGTAGGTATATCATATAGCAGATAAATCTGGGAGAGTGAAAATAGCTTTATATACCTTCTTTTTATTCTTGGGCAACTCAATCATCTTTTGAGTCCAAGGATCACTTGAGCCCAAAGCTGTAGTGTACAATGATTATGGCTGGAATAGCCACTGCACTTAAGTCTGGGCAATGTAGCAGTACTCAAGGGGAAAAAAAGTATGTGAAAGTGAAAGCACGTTGTAGACCATAAGGTATTTACATAGTTAGCATGTCAAGAGTGTGTTATTTATAATGCAGTATGTGTGTGTGAGGTTTTTTTCCCATTTTTCCTAGATTGAAACTGCTTCTGCCTTGGCTAGAGGCCAGAATTCATGAGGGCTGTGAGGAGCCTGCTACTCACAATGCCTTAGCCAAAATCTACATAGACAGTAATAACAACCCGGAGAGATTTCTTCGTGAAAATCCCTACTATGACAGTCGCGTTGTTGGAAAGTATTGTGAGAAGAGAGATCCACATCTGGCCTGTGTTGCTTATGAACGTGGCCAGTGTGATCTGGAACTTATTAATGTGAGTACTGCTAGCTGAATATGTAAAAAAGCTGCATTTTTAAAAACCTGTTATATGAGAGGTTCAGGGTGGTTTTAGGTAATATGGGACATTTGGGGACAGTGGGTGCTTTTTAAAAACTTTATTTGCTAATAATTGTGAATCTGAAAGTGCCCAAATAGTGGATAAAGTCTATATACCCTTTATTCTGATTGACTTGTTAATGTTTTAACCCCATTAGCCTTACCATTTGTGTTCTCACACTCTTACACGCAGGCACACCATTCATACGTATGTGTTACACACATCTATTATTTTTTAACCACGTGGGAATAAGTTGAATGCATCATGGCCTTATACCCCTTCAGAGTGTATGGCTTAAGAATAAGGATATTCTATTTCATTAACCACATGAAATGTACCAGCTTCAGTCAGTTTGACATTGACAGGATACCTTTAAAAATCTGTTCTATTCTAGTTGTGTCAATTAACCAATGACGTCCTTTGTAGTAGTTTTTTTCCCCTCTAGTCTAAGGTTATATATGACATGTAGTTTTCATGTCTCTTTAGTCTCCTGTACTCTGGAATGGTTCTTCAGTCTTTTGTTTTTTATGACACTGATATTTTTGTAAACAGATAGTTGCTTTTTCTATTTGTAACTATTTTATATAGGTGAAATTTAAAGCAACATCAAATTAACCATTTTAAAGTGAACAATTCAGTGAAATTCAGTACATTTACAATGTTATATAATCACCTTTATCTAGTTCCAATTTTTCATCACTTCAAAAGGAAACCCTGTATTCCTTAAACAGTTCCTCCACATACCCCCTCCTCCCAGCCCCTGACAACCACCAGACTGTACTCTGTCTCTATGGATTCGCCTATTCTCTATATTTCATTTAAATGTAAAGTCTCTTTTTAAAAAATAGAATGTGTCTCATTTTGATTCCTCTGATGGTTCCTGAAGGTTAGATTTAGATTATACATTTCCACCCAGAATACTGCTTCAGTGGTGGTTTGTTTTTCTCATGGTATTATATCCAGAAGCACACAGTGTTCATTTGTCCCCTTTGTCAGTTTTTATCAAGTTGTAACATTTCTTTATTATATAATTATTACCCTCTTGCAGATATTAAACAGTCTATAAGTAGACACTTAAGACCATGCAAATATCCTCTTACCCCCTCCCTTAATTTAGCATCTGTTGATTCTTGCTTAAAACATTCTTAATGTGTTGGTTGCAAAATGAAAATTTTTCAAACTCTAGCAGTTTCTCCACATTTGTCAGTTAACACTCATGCATTCATGAACTCTTGGATTTTATTCGATGGGGTGCAATCCATTACTATTTATTTTGATGCTCAAATTGTCCCAGCTGGTGAGAACATCTTCAGTCTGTGTCTTTGTGTCATGGGCTCATTGTTCTTTGAGCATTTTAACTTATTTTCTGGCACACAATACACCAAGCTCATTTTGTACCTTCTGCAGCCCTGGAGTCAGTCATTTCTCTAGGGAACCTTTTACTGGGGCATGGTATTAGAAATCAAGATCTGGGCCAGGTGAGTGGCTCACTCCTAGAATCCCAGCACTTTGGGAGGCTGAGGCAGGAGGATCACTTGAGCCCAGGAGTTGAAACCAGCCTGGGCAACATAGCGAGCCCGTCTCTACAAAAAATTACATAATTAGCTGGGGGAGGTACCATGCACTTGGTTCGAAGCTATCCAGAAGGTTGAGATAGGAGGATCACTTGAGCCCAGGAGGTCAAGGTTGCAGTGAATTACGATCACAACACTGCACTCTCCAGCCTGGACAACAGAGCAAGACTCTTATTTCCTGAAAATATTAGAAGTCAAGATCTGAGCTTAGGTATATTTGCTTCTAAGATCTTTCAGTGGTCAGAGCTAGGAAATAGTTATATTTATGTACATACATATGCTCACTTATGTACATACATGTGCATATACACATGGAAAAATAAACACACAAGAACAGCTAGTAAAACACTGAAAAATGTAGAAGTGGACTAGTCCTACCAGATGTTAAATTGTATATTACAAAGCCTGTATAATTAAAACAGTATATTACTGGTACGTGAATCAAAGTCCAAAAGTAGATCCAATATCAGTAAGATTATCAATAAACAGAGTTTAAACAATAGGAAATAACCTCTAAAATGCTATAAAAAGTCTTTTACTTTTTACCTTGAAATTGATCTGTCATATCTTCTTTAGGTTTGCAATGAGAATTCCCTCTTCAAAAGTCTTTCTCGCTACTTGGTACGTCGAAAGGATCCAGAATTGTGGGGCAGCGTGCTGCTGGAAAGCAATCCTTACAGGAGACCCCTAATTGACCAGGTAACATTGGCAAACATATTTATGACTGTCAGTAAAAATTATACATTTTGAACTGTGGATACAATCCCCTCATCATATACTCAAATGGATCATATTTAACTAGGAGAGAAAGCAGTACAAAGTAGAAGGAAATTAAAATTTATATACATTCAATTTACATTCATTTGTATATAATGAATGTAAATTGATTATATACGTTATATATAAATTAATGTAAATTTATATAAGTATAAATATGTATATAACATACATTAAGAAAAATAAGCAGGCCGGGCGCGGTGGCTCAAGCCTGTAATCCCAGCACTTTGGGAGGCTGAGGCGGGTGGATCACGAGGTCAGGAGATCGAGACCATCCTGGCTAACACGGTGAAACCCCGTCTCTACTAAAAAAAATACAAAAAACTAGCCAGGCGCGGTGGCGGTCGCCTGTAGTCCCAGCTACTCGGAGGCTGAGGCAGGAGAATGGCATGAACCTGGGAGGCGGAGCTTGCAGTGAGCCGAGATCGCGCCACTGCACTCCAGCCTGGGTGACAGAGTGAGACTCTGTCTCAAAAAAAAAAAAAAAAAAGAAAAATAAGCTGCGTGCAGTGGCTCACGCCTGTAATCCCAGCACTTCGGGAGGCCAAGGTGGGCAGATTGCCTGAGGTCAGGAGTTCGAGACCAGTCTGGCCAACGTGGTGAAACCCCGTCTCTACTAAAAATACAAAAATTAGCCAGGCATGGTGGCACGCGCCTGTAATCCCAGCTACTCGGGAGGCTGAGGCAGGAAAATCACTTGAACCTGGGAGGCGGAGGTTGCAGTGAGCTGAGATCACACTATTGCACTCCAGCCTGGGTGACAAGCGAGACTGTATCAAAAAAAAAGAAAATACATCCTAAAAGACATGACTTAATTACATAAAACTCTCTCGGTTCATCATAGTTTAAAAGGAGAATAACAAACTAAACAGTAAGGATTGCTATTAACACCTAAGAAGTGGCTAAATTGATTGGAAACTTCAAGACAATGATAAGTCAGCAAAAGATAAGGATAAGAGAAAATACAAAAGACCAAGTGCATCTGTTATATCTTACTAACAAGAAGTATAGAACTGCACATGAGATGGGCTTTTATACCTAAATAAAATAGACAACATATTTTAAAAGCTCTAAAAATTGAAGGGTTGTTAATAATAAGTCTTAAAATTCTCCTGAAATAAGTATAAATAAAACATTTTGGAAACAAATAGGTTGAAGTCTATTAATATTTCATTCCTTTTCTAGGAAGCATTTCTAAGGAACATTCCAACTAGTTACAAAGCTTCCTAGGGGAAGGATGTGGAGGGGGTGGTTGGAAATCATTGCAGCATCTAGAAAGCCATGCAAATAGGCAAAACTAGAAGAATTACTGATACTATAGTTCCACATCTGTGTAGTTGAATTTTGAATTATGTGTAGCCACTAAAGTGATAATGATGATTGCTAGCCTGGATAATGTTTTATCAGGGAAAAGATAGAAATTATATAATTAGAGTAATTTTTCAAGAGAGTAGAATTACACATATTGTATAGATTTGTGTAGAAAGACCTCTGTGTGTAAATTTAAAGGTCTTTTTCCTACTTCATTCTTTTCTGCCTATTTCAAGTTTTCTAATGAGAGGCCAACTTATCCTTATTTAAAACCAATTTGATTCTCAATACTTATGTCCCATATATCCTCTGTAGGTTGTACAAACAGCTTTGTCTGAGACTCAGGACCCTGAAGAAGTGTCAGTAACTGTCAAGGCTTTCATGACTGCAGACCTTCCTAATGAACTGATTGAACTGCTGGAGAAAATTGTCCTTGATAACTCTGTATTCAGTGAACACAGGTATGCTTTCAGAGGGATCCATTGGCTGTTTATTGTCAGTCTTTAATAATGGCCCATCAGTTTTGGGAAGGAACAAAAAGATCAGAGAAAGTTGCCTGAATTCTCACTCTTCTAATATCCCCCCTCCTTCACTCTATCTCTTGAGACAAAAACCTCTCTATTAGTCACAGTGGTTTTTTTTTTATGTCTGATAAACTTAAAATATTGCATTTAAAATATTCTTTTGTTTCTTAAAGGAATCTGCAAAACCTCCTTATCCTCACCGCAATTAAAGCTGACCGTACACGTGTTATGGAGTATATTAACCGCTTGGATAATTATGATGCCCCAGATATTGCCAATATCGCCATCAGCAATGAGCTGTTTGAAGAAGCATTTGCCATTTTCCGGAAATTTGATGTCAATACTTCAGCAGTTCAGGTAAATCTTTAGATTACCTAAGTTGAATTACTAAATGTAATGTCTTCTACTCATTCAGTGTATGCACTGTCCTGTGAGGGTGGGCCTAATTGGTTCCTATGGCAATAGAAGAGCAATAAAATACTAACAGCTTAAATGTAATTGCTCTGGGTAGGATTGATTTTACTCTAACCCCAATTTCAAACTTGGGTACTTAGGTCTTAATTGAACATATTGGAAACTTGGATCGGGCATATGAGTTTGCTGAACGTTGCAATGAACCTGCGGTCTGGAGTCAACTTGCAAAAGCCCAGTTGCAGAAAGGAATGGTGAAAGAAGCCATTGATTCTTATATCAAAGCAGACGATCCTTCCTCCTACATGGAAGTTGTTCAGGCTGCCAATACTAGTGGTATGACTTCTTACCTTATGTATTGAGACCTCACAAAATGATTAAGCTAAGCATTAAGATATCTGTCTGTTCTGAATTGTAGAAGAGTTGGATACTGCATGGTTTCCTGTGAAAACTTTTAGTACTCCATCTTAGTCCAGATAAAAAGAGGCTGTATTTTGTGAATTTGTAAGTTCACAAAACTTACAAGTGGGGAAGATAAATTTTCTGTTTTTGAAGTCTCATAAAATCCTGATAATGCTCTAATCTTACAATTTTAAGGAAAAAGAGAATTCTTCTATTCATTTGGTCTTTGATAATACAGAAGTGAAATATTGCACAGTTTACATTTGTCATTATCCATGTTTCCTTGAAAAGGAAATGAGCAATTTTCATTTACTTGGGTGAAAGATAAACTGGGATGTTAGTGTTTGGATATATTTTTTCTTTTTCTATACTTAGGAAACTGGGAAGAACTGGTGAAGTACTTGCAGATGGCCCGTAAGAAGGCTCGAGAGTCCTATGTGGAGACAGAATTGATATTTGCGCTGGCTAAAACAAACCGCCTTGCAGAGTTAGAAGAATTTATCAATGGACCAAATAATGCTCATATCCAACAAGTGGGTTTCCTTTTCAGATTTAAGAAAAACTAGTTGGGCTACTTGATTAGCTTGGTAGGATCAAAACATCATAACTGAAGAATTCCAAGGAAAAATCTACAGGAAAACAAATTATTTCTCAGTGTGAAGGTATGAATATGAAAAGAGGATTAAGCTCACACTAATATCTTACTGAATATGCGTTACCTTTTTTTTTTCCAGGTTGGTGACCGTTGTTATGATGAAAAAATGTATGATGCTGCTAAGTTGTTGTACAATAATGTTTCCAATTTTGGACGTTTGGCATCTACCCTGGTTCACCTGGGTGAATATCAGGCAGCTGTTGATGGGGCTAGGAAAGCTAACAGTACTCGAACATGGAAAGAGGTAATCTAAACCCAAGTTTGAGTGAAGAATTAAAGAAACGCTCTGTAAACATTAGTTTAAACAACTAGCCATGTTTACATTTGAGTTCACAGAAAGGAAATGTTTATTCTAGGTCTGCTTCGCCTGTGTAGATGGGAAAGAATTCCGTCTTGCTCAGATGTGTGGACTTCATATTGTTGTACACGCAGATGAATTAGAAGAACTTATCAACTACTATCAGGTAATTAACAAGAAACTTTTATATGACCTGAGATCTTTTACCATAGATACTCTTTATCTTTAACTGCACATTTCTTTTGTTCAGGATCGTGGCTATTTTGAAGAGCTGATTACCATGTTGGAAGCAGCACTGGGACTTGAGCGAGCTCACATGGGAATGTTTACTGAATTAGCTATTCTATACTCTAAATTTAAGCCTCAGAAAATGAGGGAGCACCTGGAGCTGTTCTGGTCTAGAGTGAATATTCCCAAGGTAACCAGTCATTGTAACACAGTGAAGCAACTGTGTAGTTAAAACTAATACTTCAAAATATCTTATTCTTTTTAAGGCTGTTAGCTAGACTCATATCTAAAGCAATTAAGTCTTTCTTACGCAGGTGCTAAGAGCTGCAGAACAAGCTCATCTTTGGGCAGAACTGGTGTTTTTGTATGACAAGTATGAAGAATATGATAATGCCATAATTACCATGATGAATCATCCAACTGATGCCTGGAAAGAAGGGCAGTTCAAAGATATCATTACCAAGGTGTGTACTTTCTTCAGAAGATAAAGGATTCAGAAGGAGAAAGCTCATTAGGAAGTAACTGACTTATATATGGATTTTCCCATTATAGGTTGCCAATGTGGAACTATACTACAGAGCAATACAGTTCTATTTAGAATTCAAGCCTCTGTTGTTAAATGATTTGCTGATGGTGCTGTCTCCACGGTTGGATCACACTCGTGCAGTCAATTATTTCAGCAAGGTAAAGTAATAATTTTAAACCAAAGCTTCATAGCAAGGAATTAGGACATATTAGGATAACTTTTGTCCCTGGGACTTCAATAATGTGCTATATTTGTAACAAACTCTTTATTTTAAAGGTTAAACAGCTACCACTGGTGAAACCATATTTGCGTTCAGTTCAGAACCATAACAACAAATCTGTGAATGAATCATTGAACAACCTCTTTATTACAGAAGAAGATTATCAGGTAAAACCTTTTGATTCTTGCACATAATCTTAAGACTCATAAAGTTACATTTTCCCATTTTTCAAAAACGCCATTATCATTTAGGATTGTAAACAGTAGTTGCTTGCATTCCTAGGATCTAAATTTAGTAAGGTTTCAGGATTGATAAATCTTACTTCTGGTTAAGTGCCAAGTTTTCAGAATTTTGCTCAGATCTTGTATAAGATACTGCTTTTGAAAAAAGATATGATTACTTTATCTCTAACATCTAGATTATAGGTAGAGTCAAAAATGTCTTTGATCACTTAACTAGTTCATAAAATTTATTTGATATTAACTATATTCACCATTTTTCTTGCCTACTGTTTTATTAGTATTTGCATAAACTTTATCTTACGAAGGCTTTCGCATAAGCAAAAGTCAAGTAGAGTGAAGCTTAAGCTCCTTGCCTTTTTTTCTCTCTCTTGATTTTCTTTGAGCCTCCATGCATGCAGATCTTACTGCTGCCATGCTGAGTTTTATCAGAAGTTTCTCTAGGGAATAAAATCTTGCCCTCCAGGCCAGGCGCGGTGGCTCACGCCTGTAATCTCAGCACTTTGGGAAGCCGAGGCGGGCAGATCATGATGTCAGGAGATCGAGACCATCCTGGCTAACACAGTGAAACCCCGTCTCTACTAAAATACAAAAAAAATTAGCCAGGTGTGGTGGCACGTGCCTGTAGTCCCAGCTACCTGGCAGGCTGAGGCAGGAGAATCGCTTGAATGCTAGAGGCAGGTTGCAGTGAGCCATGATTGTGTCACCACTGCACTCCAACCTGGGCAACAGAGGGAGACTCCATCTCAAAAAAGAAAAAAAAAAAACTTGCCCTCCAAATTAGAAATCTCGTCAGTTTCATAGCCGTATGTTAGTCCTTGATACTGAAATATCTTGGAGAAAATGTTATCTTTGGGTAAGGTGAAAAAACACCTTTTGATGCTTGAATCTAGGTGTCATACTACATGTTACCATATAAGGGGCTCATTGATCGAGGACGGAATATAATGTTAAACAAAATACTGATCTGGCATTTGGATGGCTTTTTTTTTTTAAGGCTCTGCGAACATCAATAGATGCTTATGACAACTTTGACAATATCTCGCTTGCTCAGCGTTTGGAAAAACATGAACTCATTGAGTTCAGGAGAATTGCTGCTTATCTCTTCAAAGGCAACAATCGCTGGAAACAGAGTGTAGAGCTGTGCAAGAAAGACAGCCTTTACAAGGTTGATAAAGTTGCGGGGCGGGGGCTGTTAAACCAGGCCTAAAATGATGTTACAAGTGATTATTTCTATAAATAAAAGTATTGGTTTTGTGAATATGAGAACTGACTTTAAGGCAATTTAAGTTAATGGATTTCTTGATTCTAGGGGCTCTCTTATGTTAAGGTCAAACTTGTTTGGGGGAAGAAAAAGGCCTTTAGCTTATCTGTTCTTTGAAAATTTTAATTTAAATGATACAACTAGGAGGCTTTTTTCCCCCTTGCAAAACCAGATTTATATTGGAAAGGTTCCATTGTTTTTCTTGGTTTACTAGTTTAGTATGTTGGGTCTAATGTTTTTTGACTTTCACTATTTTCTTTGAATAGGATGCAATGCAGTATGCTTCTGAATCTAAAGATACTGAGTTGGCTGAAGAACTCCTGCAGTGGTTTTTGCAGGAAGAAAAAAGAGAGTGCTTTGGAGCTTGTCTGTTTACCTGTTACGATCTTTTAAGGCCAGATGTTGTCCTAGAAACTGCATGGAGGCACAATATCATGGATTTTGCCATGCCCTATTTCATCCAGGTCATGAAGGAATACTTGACAAAGGTAATGACTCTTCTAAGTGTATTCAGAAGTAGTTTTCTTGCAGATATGTAAAATTCTACATGCACATTAATTTTTAAAATTTTTTTTATTTAGTAGAAGTCAGTCATTTAGTCGATCATAAAATATTCCTGTTCTTTTGAAAAATTTTTAATAGCTGATAAATGACACTGATTGGAAGGGGAACTCAAATGTAGCTCTTTACCCTCAGTGTATTTATGATTGTGAAAATAATCTATATTTTGTTTTTTTATTTTAAAAACTATTCGATAAATTTTATTTCAAAGTCGCAGTTTTCTCAAACTCAGTTCTTGTAACTCAAATAATCATAACTAGTATTGTAGATTCCCTTTTATTTGGTTGGCTCCTGACTTTAGTGATGTCTATGCCTGTTTCCCCTGGGGAAGCTGCATGTATATTCTTAACATCCTTTTAATCTTCACAATTTTTTTTGATAGTTTAACCCCTGATTTAAAAATATCATAGGAGGTGAACACATTAAACAAGCTGGGGGTCTAATTGCCTTGTAAAATTCACTATTCATCTTAGTGTCCCTTTTTGATGTAAGAATTTACTCACTCTGTCTTCAGCAGTTACTAGCTTTCTCTCTGTAGAACATTTTTAAATGGTTTTAGAGGATCCTTTTTGTCAAAGCAAAAAACATGATTAAAATCAGAGTCTCCCAACTGATTCCTTCAGCCTGCCTGAGTTAAGGCGGGGGTAGGGGGAATGGGAGCACTACCAACAACCCCTACTACACTGAATTTTTCCTCAGGATATCATTTAATTAGATACCATTGTGTCTGTTTCAAGTTTTTAAAGAATTAACATTTTCTGTATTCAATGTAAGAAAAAACATGTTGCCTTGTCTTAGCCAACATGTTTTAGCCATAGATGAGAATAGCTTCTTAAACATAATGCCAACTTGTGAGACCTGTCTCTAAGCTGCTGTTAACCTAAGTGCTGTAAATTTTACTAGTGATTAAGCTGCTTTCTTTCATACTGTAGCATAAATTCTTCTGCAGTAAGCTTTGAAGTTACAGAAAAATCTAAATTTTGCTTCCAGTATGCTCTTTATTTTCACTTCTCTCATACCTTTTTAGTGGTTAGATGTTTCTTCCCTAAACCTTTGTTGCTGATTCTACCTTTTTATGCTCAATATGGAATTTGATTTTTTTTCTAAGCTGCACCTTCTGAATTCCTTTGCAGGTTGATGCAATAAAGGAAAAGGTGAAAGTTGATTCTTTTCCATCTTTAAGTCTGGAGAACTAAGTCTAAGGAATTTGCATGATTTTTTTCCTTCCTTTTCTACACTGCTGCTGCTGCTTTTTCCCCCCAATAAATTTTCACTAAAGCCTCTGCAAGTCCCTTGAAACATAACTTTAATAGAACTGTAGGACATTAGTAGACGTTTGCTACTAATCGGCTAATAGGCTTTAGGAAGGGCAGGAGGCTAATCAGTAGTTGGTTCACAGTCTCTCTTAAATATATTATGAAAAACTGAGTATGGTGAGTTTCCATATTAATTCCAAAGTAACAGGAAATTTCTCTTCCCTGTCAGGGTATCTGGACCCTAATAGGACTATCATAATACTTGAAGTAAATTAAAACAGCCTCTGGTTTTACTTTGTGAGCTTGCCTGACAGTTGTTGAATTTATATATGTATATACATGCCCTAAAAGGCTTTTTGGGGTTTTTTTTTTTTTGGTATTGAAGGACTGTGATCCAGTTTCTGATCTCTTGATTCTTACTAATTTTTTGCTGAAAGTAGATACAAGAGATACTAGCTGCTTCCGAAGAGACTTTCCTCATGTTTCTCCAGGTGTCCAGTTCTTATGGTGCTAGTCCATTTTTAAGAGGAATCAAAACCTTTTTAATCACGAGAGCCAAGCTTGCTATAATTGTTGCTAAGCAACATGAATTACTTTTAACAAAGTATTAACTTCTACTTTCTGTAATAAGGCATACCACTGAAGCTACCTAAAATTTGCTCTCCTATTTATCAGTTGGCTTGTCCAAGGAGGTCAAATTCAGGCACCTTTTGGTTGCTGCTTCCTTCATTGGCTTGTCTCCATCCCAATATGAATGAAACAAACTGTTATCAAATTGTGGTTAGAAAAGGGTGGGAAGGTAAAGGAGAGTTGAAACAAATTGAAAAGAATTTGGGTGGGGGACAATGCCTTGGGATTATGTTGAACCAAACTGGAGTCACCACTGGAACTTAGGGCAAACCTGAGTAAAATGCATTGTGTGTGAGACCCTTCAGCAGCTAGTAAGCAAGGCAGTTAGAAAGCGTGTGTGTGAAAAACAGGTAATTGAACTGCAGTGTTATGCATTGTTTTAAATGGAGCATGTACAACAGTCATTGCAATTACATCATACTATTTTTGAAACTCTTATAGCATTGCTGTGGGCTGTGTGTGTTTCTTGAGAGCCTGTATAGCAAGTCATCTTCAGATCTCACTTCTTGCTTCAGTACTTTTGCCTTTTTTTCATGCACACATACACCAAAATAACTGACTGCATGTTACTTTTCCTCTGCAGCATATTGCAGTCTTTGTGGAAAAGCCTTTTACATTTTAGTGAATTTTCAGTAGTACAGATGGAACTGAATTCATTGACATGCTTACCTGTAATTTTTCTTTTTAAATCCAAGGATCAGAAACTTTTGTTACAGCTCTTAACAAAAGCTTGTGTTCTTAAAAGCCTTCTATGCTTTTTTTTTTTTTTTTTTTTTTTTTTTTTTTTTTTTTTTTGAAGTAAAAAAAAAAAACTGGATCAGTGGAAACAAAAATTGAAAGTCCCTGTGCCAGAGGCTGTCCCATCATATAGAAGAATCAGAATTTTTTGCTTAGCTTGATGCTATTCCTTCAGAATTCTTCCCCCTATGCCCAGACTTCCTATGTGTACGCCAGGGCATTGTGATATTGCCAGCTCTTCTAAGTCTTCCATGTGCTTCTCTAATAGGACTTCTGTGTTCAACATCTGATTCAGGCCTTAACTTTTAAACACATGTTCACTTCAGATTCTTTTCCTCGAAAGTCAGGAAATGTATTATGCAGTGGTGGCTTTTTGGTTGTTTCATTTTTCTTCTTAGAAGTTACTAATGTACAGACATCCATGTATTTTTCTTTATAACTTCTATAGCTCATTCTTGAATACTGGTTAGTTAGCAAAACCCCATCTGACCCTTGATGGCACAGAGCTGTGCTTTAAGTTCTATAAATGTAATAATTTTTGTTCTAAGTGTGGATGCCAAAAAATGGGCATTTCATCTGGTACTTATACTACATAATAGTCTTTAATTTGGTATTAGGGTAATTTGTAACACATCATTTAGACTATAAAATAGGATAATAGTGTATAGAAGTAAACTAATCCATCTTCCTAGGCTAGAAAAACCACATTTCATCTGAAGGAGCCTACTTAGGCTTACTTTTCTCAAACTTTCAGTTCCCTAACAAATTAAGATGGATTAGACTCATATTTGTGGTATTTAATATGAAACAATTAAATGTAAAACAGTGCCCTAACCTTAATGGCCTATGCAAAGACTGAAAGATACTTTTTTAATAGTTTCAAATAGAAATGAGGTGCTGCCTGAATCTTTTTAGGACCTGGATTTTACAAACTTTTCCACTGAAGTTTTTTTTTTTTTGAAGTGATTTTTCACAATTTGCCTTTTTGAAGAACATGCGGTGAACATTCAGAAAGTGTTCCCCCCTGCACTTTGGTCCCCCTGTCTCATCCAGCACATTTATGACCTTGAAAACCACCAGTAATAGATAACATTGAGGTTTGAAATTTAGTTTTACTTAGCTATAATGATAGACCAAGTATAAGGCTTTGGTTGAGAGACCAGCTTTTAAATATTGAAAGACAAATATAGTGTAAAAGGCAATGGAATTTGTATAGTGAAGGAGATTCTCTAGTCCCAGTGTTGTAATGTCACTTCTCTCTATTTCATTACAGAATTACAGAAACAAATCATGTTAGGCCTAGAAGAAACTGCAGATCATTTTGTTCAACCTTCTCATTATATAGAGAAGGAAATTTGAGGGCCAGTGCAATGATTTGCCAAGGTCACACAACTAGTCAGTGGAAGGATCTAGGCATTCTAATTCCTTTCTTTCACTAATACATTTGGACTGCTCTACAGAATTACTTCTGATACTATCCACTTTGAAGAGTAGTTAGCATATAGTAGCCATTTACTTTTGGCTTAATTAAAAGTGAACATTTTTGGGACAAAATCAGGCTTTACTGATTACTTCTTAGATAACAGAGCACACACAGTATTAAACATGCAGCCTTTCTTTATACAAAAAGATTGAATATGGAGCCACTTGAATCTTAAACTTCAGTCTGCAGCTATAACCAATATCATCAGAAGCTATACACAACTGGCAAAAAAACAGCTTATTGTGCACAAGTACTTGTCCAGTCAGTAGGCTCATTTAACTTTTTTGAATACCATTTCCTCTGGGGAGGGAAGTATTGCCAGACCATGAGTTCATTATTACCTCTGATCAGTTTTAAACTTCATTTGAAAAGTGGTTCCTTCTCGTTTTCTCCCTCCCTCAGGCTGCATCCTAGCATGCCCAGTTTTAGTCTGGCGTGAGCTTTTATGGCATTTATAAATCCCTCCTTCCTGAGGGTTTATAATGACAGTGCTGAAAACCACCTGGACTGAAGTATGAACATTGCCATTGAATTTAAGGGGGCCTGAGAATGTTCTTTCTAGTCTGTTTTATTTTGACAGAATTTAACATACTAAGGCTTTTCCACTTTCTGCCATAAACCTAGGTTTATAATACTTTTGGGGTGCTAATTAACATGATGTGTTTTTCTCCAGGTGGATAAATTAGATGCTTCAGAATCACTGAGAAAAGAAGAAGAACAAGCTACAGAGACACAACCCATTGTTTATGGTAATCTCTCTCTGTAACCTCAAAAAATTCATTAGATAAGTATTTAATTATTTAGAGACTATGCCTCAAAATAGAATACAACAAGCTTCTAAAGTGCAGAAGGCTTGCTAAGAAATACTGCTTTCTATAATTTTTTTTTCTGAGAAGTCGTAAAGCAGGTGTTGATATTATTCACTAAAATAATCTTAAATACAAGAAAACTCAAAAACAGTCATTTAAGATCATAACATGAATCTTTCCTATCATCTGGTCCCTCATTCATTACCTGCTCATAAATTAGTGAAAAAGAAATACTGATGAATTCCATTTTCAAAAGAGCAAAAGATGAGAGAATATGCCCAGGCTGTCTTTAGTATGCTTCACATAAAGAATACATCCTCATTTTAAATTCTAACTGGGGCAGATAACTGGGTAGTTTCCATTTGAGAACTTTCCAGAGAGATAGGATCTTCAAACTCTCAAGTGAATATTTAAGACAGTTTCATGTCTTCTTAAACCTACATGTCTGAATTACTGCCCCTTTCCATTTCATAGTTGGTGAACAGATTCATTTGAACAATCACTTTGAAGAGTATAGGTAGAAGCACAGTAACCAGGTGAGGGAACATAAAAATATGACCATTATGGCTGGGCGCGGTGGCTCACGCCTGTAATCCCAGCACTTTGGAAGGTGTAGGCGGGCAGATCACAAGGTCAGGAGATCGAGACCATCCTGGCTAACACGGTGAAACCCCGTTTCTACTAAAAATACAAAAGATTAGCCAGGCGTGGTGGCACATGCCTGTAGTCCCAGCTACTTGGGAGGCTGAGGCAGGAGAATTGCTTGAACCTGGGAGGCAAAGGCTGCAGTGAGCTGAAATGGCGCCACTGCACTCCAGCCTGGGCGACAGAGTGTGACTCAGTCTCAAAAATAATAATAAAATAAAATAAATAAAATTGGTTTCCAAAATTAATTTGTTTGCTAAATACAGCTTTGGTTGTTAACCACAAAAAGCAAAGACATGAAGTCCTTTGTGTAGGAGAAATCTTGATCTAGGTTTACACTGTAGTGGGAGGTTAAGAAATTTGTTTTGTAGGGGTAGAGAGGTGTTACTTGCTTTCCATCTCTAAGCCAAGTTCTCTACAGGTCATGTTTTCTGTATATGACCAACAACGATTTAAACTTTGTAAGAAAGAATGTCAACATAGTATTTGATAGAGGGTGTATGTTCTAATGTATTTCACACCTAAAGAATGTCTGAATATGTCTTTTTTTCCGCCCCCCCAAGACAGCGTCTTGCTCTGTCACCCAGGCTGGAGTGCAGTGGCGTTATCTCGGCTCACTGCAACTTCCTGGGTTCAAGTGATTCTCCTGCCTCAGCGTGCTGAGTAGCTGGGATTATAGGCGCACACCACCACGTCCAGCTAATTTTTTTTGTATTTTTAGTAGAGACGGGGTTTCACCTATTGGCCAGACTGGTGTCGAACTCCTGACCTCATGATCCACCCTCCTCTGCCTCCCAAAGTGCTGGGATTACAGGCATGAGCCACTGCGCCTGGCCCAAATGTGTCTTAGTTTTAATTGCTGTCTCTAAATTAGTACTGGATCATCTATAAATGAATTTGGTTTCATTGCCATTTAGACATGTTTAAATCAGAAATTTACCTGTAAAAGTTATGTTAATAACATGTCATTTAGGCCAAGCATGGTGGCTTACACCTATAATCCCAGCACTTTGGGAGGGCAAGGTGGGCTAATCACTTGAGCAGCCTGGCCAACGTGGCAAAACCCCGTCTCTACTAAAAATACAAAAATTAGCTGGACATGGTGGCACACACCCGTAATCCCAGCTACTCGGGAGGCTGAGGCACGAGAATCGCTTGAACCCAGGAGGCAGAGGTTGCAGTGAGCCGAGATTGCACAACTGCACTCCAGCCTGGGCAACACAGCAAGATTCTGTCTTTGAAAAAAAAAAAAGGTCTTTTTAAAAACTAAGTTTTCTTGTGCTAATTTTATTGTGTCATTTAGTGTAATATGCATGTAGGTTATGTGTCAAGTATACAGTGTCAGGCATATTGTGTTCAGTCATAAGCAGTTCTGGCCTTTGGCCCTGCACTATTTGTTGGCTTTTTAGGTAGGAACCTTCTTAGAGTAAGACTGTCCTCCCAAAATTGTAGCAATCAAATGTGCCCCCCATACACAGCTCATTCGAGGGTGAGATTATGTTGCTAGAGTGGAGGAGATTGGGGTGTTCTAAATGCTAACAGTCTGTCCTGCCTCCTCACCCTGCCCCTGCTCCTTTTCATTTTCTTCTACTTTAGGTCAGCCCCAGTTGATGCTGACAGCAGGACCCAGTGTTGCCGTCCCTCCCCAGGCACCTTTTGGTTATGGTTATACCGCACCACCGTATGGACAGCCACAGCCTGGCTTTGGGTACAGCATGTGAGATGAAAAGCTGATCCTGTAGTCACCTATTTTCGTACTGAAACATCGTCTCTACCCACTTCTCTGTTTATAATGGGGGAAACAGGCAACGTGTTCTTGTAACCTTTATTTCATGAAGGACTCCTTTTTGTTTCTAACTATAAACTTGGATCACCTATGTTAAAACCTTATTTCACATTCCACATCATTTTAGAATTTATTTTCGAAGGGGAATAGTTTCAATGTTTTATTCACTTGGGCTTTTTTTCTTCCCCCTCATTCTTTAAAGAACTGCTTAATATTTAATCTGTTGTGAAGAATCTGATTTGCACTCTGTAGTGTTTAAAGAAACAAAGAAACTCTAATATTGAATCTCTTAAATTTAGTGTATGTAAACAGCTTACAAATATGTATTGTCTAAATGCATTTAAATCTGTTTTATTCAAAGAAAAGCTAAAGCAAAAATACTGGCATATGACCATGCAAGACTGTCAATGCCAACAAAGACAACACTAATCAGCACATCCTACACTGGATTGCAGTGCTTTCCAGATTATTTGAAAAATGTTACAGACAACTTGCCTGATTTTTAAATGAGCATAAAAGGCCCTCTAACCTATGCAGGTTTCCCCATTATGCATATAGAAAATGCTAGTATGTTTTGCTCACTTCATATGTAACAGGTGCCCTTATGTTGTGCTGTATCCTGTGCTTTTTCTGTGGGACCATTCCATTCAGGAGCAAAGAGCACCATGATTCCAATCTTGTGTGTGTTTACTAACCCTTCCCTGAGGTTTGTGTATGTTGGATATTGTGGTGTTTTAGATCACTGAGTGTACAGAAGAGAGAAATTCAAACAAAATATTGCTGTTATTCAGTTTTGTTTGTGGAATTTGAAATTACTCAAGTTTAAAATAAATTACTGGACTGTGGAAATAACATAGATTTGAAGTTTTAATTAAATACCACTCAAACCAAAAGAACTTAATTAAATACCACTCAAACCAAAAGAACAGTAGTTTTTGTAGTTTTATATTGGATACTGAGGCATTACAGGGAGGCATGAAAGGAAGAGGAATGAGGATTGAGACATGTGAAGACATTATGCATTTTATCAATGTGCATTCCTGTATTTCAGTAAGGTACATGCAGTAGTCTAAAGAACCAGAGTCATTACTCTAGTGGCTTACATTTACTGTCTCCAACATTTTAGCCAAGTGACACTTGAGGTTTTTATCTAGGCATTTCACTTAAATGAACAAATCATGGCTGTTGTATTAACTTGAAATAAAATATATTTAAACATGTAGTTAACATGCGCTTTCTCATCATGAATTATAAAGGTGCCCAAATTATGGGTATCTTAAGTTGATTTTTTTTGAAAAATTGGTTGTGTGAATCTAGTTCTTGCTTATGGCTGAGAATGTTCCTAAAGTTCATTTCACTATCCCTTAATCCTCAATAGCTACACATAGCCCCTCGCCTAGTGTTGCACTGCTTTACAACTCTTAGGCAAATTACCTACCATAAGCTCCACAGAAGAGTTTTTTAAAACTTAAAATCCCTGTCCCACCAGCTGTGGTGACTCACGCCGTTAATCCCAGCACTTTGGGAGGTTGAGGCAGGCAGATTGCTTGAGGCCAGGAGTTCGAGACAAGCCTGACCAACATGGTGAAACTCCATCTCTACTAAAAATAAAATACCAGCCAGGCATGCTCTACTAAAAATAAAAAATCAGCCAGGTGTGAAGGTACACGCCTGTAAGATCCCAGCTACTACTCAGGAGGCAGGAGGCTGAGGCATGAGAATCACTTGAACCTGGGAGGCAAAGGTTGTAGTGAGCCGAGATCACATCATTGCACTCCAGCCTGGGTGACAGAACGAGACTCTTGTCTCAAAAAATAAAAAAACCTATTTAGTTTCATCCAGGACATTAAGTGAGTGTTTAATGTGAGTGCAGGTCAGTGAAGAATACAATGGTGCCCCTGCTTTGATATGTGGGAGGTGCCATCAGTTTTCCCCACCACTGCTTTTGTACCATCAGTGCAAATAACACACAGAAAAAAAAAGTAATAGTATTATGAAAAGATTTTTGACTCTGTGGAGACCCCATGGGTTCTGCAGAGTATACTTTGAAGACTATAGGATTATGAGTTCTATAAAATACTAAGTACAGATGAATTAGAAAACAAGCATATATCCACAATTACCAGAATTTTCATAATGTTCCTTTTAGTAGATATGCCATCACTGATCAGTTACTTAGCCACTCCATGCCATCCTGTTGGGAATGCCACTGTCTTTGAATTTGGAGCCATCAGTCTATCTGAGGCAAACCTCAGAAATTACCTGAGCCAGAATCATGCACTTAGCACTGAGTTCAACTCAGTCCTAACGTTGCATTTTGTTGCATCACTTCTGGAGCCAGTAAACATTCTGTTTAGAAATAGTTGCTATTGTGGCATCATTCACAGTTGCAATTTTTCTCCTGTGCTGTCGCATGCCTGTGCGAAGTGTATGAAATGAATCAAATATTAGAACTTTCAAGACTGTCTTTAGTGTTCTGCCCACAATATTCCACCAATGACCTTAGACCTTGAGATTGTGCTATAATGCTGCTTATATTGCAGTTAACCATAGAGAGGTACAGCCACTTAAAATGGGCCTATTATCAAAATTCTCCCTGGTATCAGTACCGTTCTTGGGGATACACTGATTTTAGAAATTACTGTCAGTATCCTCCTAAAAGAAGGCTTTAAAGAAAAATAGTTTCTAACAAGATGACTATCAGGAAGCTCTGTGGCTTGGGGAGTTGGGACCCTCTGCCTCATATTCTAGGTAACTGGTATAACAGTAATTATTAGGATTGTATCAAGTATATCTAAAGATTAAAAGGTAAAAAAGGCACCCTTAACTGTCTAGTTCTTTAAGTTCTAGGAAAAAAAAAACTAGCAGGGATGACAAACTACATTCACTTTACAGTTACCATAAATTCTTACTCGGGCCCACCCATTTCCATCTGTAAGGTCGATAAGGTTACTCCACAAAAGTTTCAATGGCTTCATTGTTACAAGAAAGGGGGGAAATGAGAACCTTTAATAGGCTGTGATTTAGAACCACTGCTGATAACCTTTGGCCAGTGTGGGTCAGGGAAGGTGAATATGAAACACTGCACAGCAGGTTGTATCAATGCTATAAAACCTCAACCTTTAGACAAAAATTCAAACAGGTTATAAACCATGGGACTCCATTGAGGATGGCCGTATCTATTAATAAAGTAGGCTATCAGTCACCCAAAAAGTGACAGCAGGGGAACAAACTGCAGCTTGCCTCTAGTGGGAATACCCTTGAACCTCGACCTCCAGGGGGACATAGTCTCGGGGAAGGGCTACCAACACACAAAGGGACCTAACCATGTATAGGGGAATGCTGTTTCCTCCCTTTTAATCCAATTGTATTGACCTGTTTCTCTCATCTTAAATATTTGTTTCAGCCTCTCACTTGAACCACCAAGACCATTTAACCAACTACTCTTTTTAAGCCCAAGATGACAACTGCCAACCACAGAACATGGGAATAGGTTTTATTTTCATCTTAAGAACATTTAAATTGGGTGAAGAAATTCAGCTTTTGTTAGAATCTGACAGGCTTCAAACACCTGTGATGGAAGGGTTACTGTCATATCAAAGTCCATCTAGTAAAGTTTTAGGTGGCCAGTGACTTTGTCAATTAGGTCTGCTGGTCCTGGCCCAATCCCTAGGACAGTTTGAGAGCCTGGTGCAATCTGAGTACGTCCAGCATCTTGAATTAAACTTACAGTCAATCCCAGCATTTTCGCATGGGCCAATAATGCAATCAGGGTTTCTTCATCAGGAGCTTTGACCACCACCTTGGGCTGGCCACAGTATTCCCATTGCTTCAGCATTTCAGGATTTCTTCTTTGAATCTGCTTGTAGGCTGAAACAGCAGCATGAGAGCACTGGGCAGCCACTTTCCCTTTTCCCATCTTTAAGTCATTTCGAACCACAAGAATCATCTTGTACTCCCCACTCTCTCCCAAGATGCTTGCTTCACTTTCAGTATGTGTGTGTGTCTTGCTCGTCTTGCTTTTGGGGAGCATCCCAAAGCGTACTCGGAGGCTCCAGCCCAGACACACGCCACAAGCAACTCCAATAGCCAAGCCGAGTGCACTGGGATGAGCCAAATATTCCATAACCAAGGATTTGGAGGGCATCTTAAGGGAAAGGAAAACAGTTATCACTATCCGGCAGTAACAACTTACAGAGGTATAGGCTTATCAGAGAAACATTTTGACTATACACTTAATGAGGTCATCCAGAAAAAAAGGCAAAACACATCTTGGATCTTATGCCTGTGCCCTGTTTCCAACACCCCCTTGCCCACCACCAGTGTACTAGAAAAGATTCAAGCATCCACATGAAACTGTTTAGGTCATTTTGAAACTTGATGTAAACAAAGTTGCATAAAGTTCAAAAACTCTATTCCTCAGTCTTCCCTTAGTCTTGTGGAGATGTTCTGTTTTATCAAGATGCCTAAGATTTAAAGAAACCAAAAATAACTCACCCCTTTCCTGGAATATAGTGCTAATCTATGTTTTCACAATGCTCTGGGTTCTCAATGGAGATGGTATCAAATAAGTTACCCTCAGAAGAACCTCACTGTCACATTAATGGGCCTGGAGTGAGATGCTGAAATTTACTAAGCCTGAGCAAGGATGCTAAAAATCTTACAAAAGGAAAAGCTGTCCCATTGGACATTAGTGCAGCTGAAAAACTTAATAGATGAGAACTCAACATCATTTTACATAAGAACACAAAATATTTTTTGCATAGTTTTACTATGTATAGGTGCTCCTCAATTTCCCATGGGGTTATATCCCAATTAACTGAAAATATCGTAAGCCAAAAATGCATTTAATACACCTACAGAACATCATGACTTAGTCTAGCCTACCTTAAATGTGCTCAGAACACTTACATAAGCCTACAGTTGGACAAAAGTCATCTAACACAAGACTATGTTATAATAGTGTTGAATATCTCCTGTAATTTATTGAATACTGTACTGAAAGTGGAAAACAGAATGGTTGTATGGGTACTCACCATTAATGTACACAGCTGAAAGCACAGTGGTCCTGAAAAATGTTTGAAGCACTGAAATGAATTAATTGCTGGATGATGGGGATGTAATAGGGTCCTCAATTTCTCTCTCTTCTGATGAACATCGAGAATAGGTGGTAGAAGGCATTGGGACATCAACACTAGTTGACGGTTTAGCAAGCATAGTGTTGTTCTTCAGGAAGACACCAAGTTTTGACTGTACAGCTTGTTTCTTTTCATTATATATTTCTCTGTAGCAAGCAAGAGCATCCTGTATCTGCCTGTCAACTGTGGCGAATCTCTCGTAATTTGACATCCATTTCTTCTAACATCTGTAGGCCGCTGCTGATAGCAGCAAATGCCTCTGCCAGTTTCTTTGCTGTGAACTTTCTAGGTGCCGTGGGTATAACTTCTTCCACTGCCTCAACTCCTTTACTTCTTTCTTCCTCCAGTGCAATCAGCTCCTTATTGCAAAGATCTTCAGCCACAATTATCCCATGCAGCTGTTCCTTAAAAGCTATGGCACCTTCATTACCAGCACGTGTTGCCTCACCACTGATCTTTACGTTGTGAAAATTATGACGCCTTTTGAAGCGCTGGAACCATCCATGACTTGCTTTAAATATTTATGTATATGTAGGATCATTGGCACGGTCTTTTAGCATATTAAAGACTTCTTGCCTTAGCCTGGATCATCAGTAGGCTGAGTGGTATGCGCTTCTGTACCTGGTCTTCCATCCACATAACAAGTAATTTCTCCATATCATCAATCGGTCCAGCCCTTTTCTTTGTGATGACAGTGGATTTAACTGATGCTGACGATTTCGCTGCATCACTGATTCACTTCTTATCCTTTAAGATGGTTGAAATCATGGATTGCGAAAGTCCTAACTCACATGCAATGGCCATTACTGGCTTGCCACCTTCATGCTGGGCAATTATCTTGAGTTTCGTTTCAAGAGTAATTGCCTTCCTCTTCTTTATCTCACCAGAAACAGGAGACACTGATGGACATTTTGTAGACATGATGGAATGTGAAAACACAAAACACAATATCCAAAAAAGCTGACAACACAGTACACAGTAGAGGATGGGTTGTTCACTCCCGTGATCACATGGGTGACTGGGAGCTGTGGCTCGCTGCCACTGCCCAGCATCACAAGAGTGTACTGTACCACATTATCACTAGGCCAGGAAAAGATCAAAATGCAAAACCTTAAGTACAGTTTCTACTGAATGGGTATCGCTTTCACACCATCCTAAAGTCGAAAATTCTTAAGTCGGAGACTGTCCATACTGAATTTTCCAGAAGTGTAACCATCATAAAACAAAGGAATGTCATTCTTTATTATTTTAGAAAATGCTGCTACTTCGGCAAAGCTGTTCATAATATTTGAGTCACCAATAAAACACTTGCATCAGTCTACAAATGAGGCTGCTGGATTCACAGTGCTTCTATGTAGAGGTGCAAGCAACTATCAGTTTCTTTTTCTAGTGGACTATTATCTAAGCATTTATAAACATAGGGCCACTATATTTGTAATGAACTGTATTTGTAATGTAAAGTGGTGCCCTTGGAATTGTGCAGTGCATGCATGACTGACAAGGCATAGATGACAGCCCTGGAAGTACTTATAAATTTCCTTTATGTTCTTTAAAGTGAGGGCATTATATTAACATTCTTTCCACTAATTTTAACATAAAAGGGGTTATTGTCTTTGGTGGGGCAGAAATTCGTTTGAGGTGGGGTCAAGAGACAGAGCAAAAAGAAAAAGCAATGGATATAAGGTGACAAAGAAAAGCAATTTTTTTTTTTTTCTCCTAAGAAGAAAGGATGAGCATATTTAAATGTTAATGGGATGGAGCCAGAAGGCAGGCAGGTAAATGCTCAAGATAGAGAAAGCCTTTATAAAGGGATTTGGCCTTGGAAAGGAAAAAGGACACCTTTCCCAATTTGAGTTTTAAATCAGGTAGGTCCATGGATTTGAAGGCAGGAAAGTATTCTCCCGGAGGGAAGGTGCTCAGACAGAAGTTCAAATGGAGTAGAGAAGAGAAAGGCTGAAATAAAAGGTGTGGCAAAATATGGCAGGATTGCAGAGGAATATTGAAAGCATGGTTAAGATAAATGATGACTTTTTAATAGCAACATACTATTTGTGATTTTCTCCAGTAGTACTTAGAAGCCAAAAGACTAATAATCACTTCCTCCAAACATACAAACTAACTCCATCCACACTCATCCTTTGCTCTCCCCTCCTACTGGAATGGTAGTTGGATGCATCTGAGTTTAAATTATGCCAGGAGCAAGCCCCAAGACACAATGGTACAAGGGAATTTAGGATGAGGGTAAGTAAGAATGTTTGACATGATAGACCATGCAACCTGTGTTATTACATTTTTCTCTTTTGGCCTACCTGATAAAAAGCAACCTGTATTATCAAAGACTGATTTATGGACAACAAAGTGATGGATGCTATTTATCTAGACATGCTGTTGAAGAACAGGCGTGATGAAAGTAAGCTGGAAAGACTTAGAGCGATGCATGGGGTTTTGATTTTGGAGATGAATGATTACAAAGAGATACAAAGCCCAGAGCATAGCTATAGGAATGGGTATCTGAAATAGAAGTGTGACTACTTTCTACTTTCTCAATTCTTTTAGTTTTATGATATACTGCTTCCCTTCCACAAATACTGATTGACCTTGTTCTAGGGTCTAAGGGATACAGGAGTGCATAAAGCAGAAAAAGTCCATTCCTTAATGAAGCTTACACTTTAGCAATGGTTTTGAAATGGTCCAATCCCAATTTTGAATTTCTTTCATTCTGTTTTAAAACTGTGGTTTTTGTTTGTTTGTTTTTGAGACAGAGTCTTGCTCTGTCGCCCAGGCTAGAGTGCAGTGGCGCAATCTCAGCTCATTGCCAGCTCCGCCTCCCAGGTTCATGCCATTCTCCTGCCTCAGCCTCCCAAGTAGCTGGGACTACAGGCGCCCGCCACCACACCCAGCTAATTTTAATTTTTTTTTGTACTTTTAGTAGAGACGGGGTTTCACCATGTCAGCCAGAATGGTCTCAATCTCCTGACCTCGTGATCCGCCCGCCTCAGCCTCCCAAAGTGCTGGGATTACAGGCGTGAGCCACCGGGCCTGGCCAAAACTTTGCTTTTATAGCTCAAAATTTCCACAATACTTTGACATGTATTGTGTTATTTGTTCCACTGAGAAGTAAGGATTACTGCCATATCAAAAATGAAGAAATTCAGACCAAGAGAAGTTAAGTTCAATAAAACAAATGTTTACTGGCTATCTATGTGCCAGCCATGCACCTTGTTAAGCTGAGGATATAGTGATGAATACGGGCCACTGTCAGCTGTTCACAGATGAGTAGTGAAGACAAATACTTAAGACTGGTAAATGTTACAAAAAGGTGTTCGATAGTCCCATCAGGGGTGAGATGGGAGGCAGTGACATCATCAGACATTAGATTCTCCTAAGAAGTACACAACTGAAATCTCTCACATGGGCAGTTCACAACAGGGTTCACACTCACATGAGAATCTAATGCTGTCGCTAATCAGATGGAACTCAGGAGGTAATGTGAACAATGAGGAGCGGCTGCAAATACAGATAAAACTTCACTCACTTGCCCACCGCTCACCTCCTGCTGTGCGGCCCAGTTCCTAACAGGCCACAGGGATGCCTGTTCTAAAAGATACCTGCCTTCAATGTAAAGAATGAACTAGAAGTTGGCAATAGATACAGGGAGATCATTTCAGAGGCTGCTATAATGTAGTAATAGTTAACATTTATTAAGTGTTTTGCTACACACTGGCTAAACACTCTATAGCAATTGTCTTCTTTAATGCACCCAACAGCACTTCAAGGTAAACAGAGCTGGTCATGGACTTACTATAGTTTCGCTTAAGCTTTCTGACTTTACAATGGTTCAAAAGCAATACATATTCAGTAGAAACTTCACCCATACAAACATTCTGGTTTTCACCTTCAGTACAGTATTTAACGAATTACATGAAATATTCAACATTTGTAGACCTTATGTTAGATGATTGTGCCCTATTGTACGCTAATAAATTAAGTGTTCTGAGCATGTTTAAGGTAGGTTAGGCTAAACTACCATGTTGGGTAGGTTTGGTGTATTACATTTATTTCCAACGTATATTTCGTTTTCTAAGAGACAGGGTTTCACTCTTTTGTCCAAGCTGGAATACAGTGAAGTGATCATAGCTCACTGCAGCCTCGAACTCCTGAGCTCAAGCAATCCTCCCACTTCAACCTCCCCAGTAGCTGGGACTACAAGCACATACCAGCACACCCTGCTAATTAAAAAAAAAAAATTTTTTTTTAAGAGACAGGGGTTTCATTATGTTGCCCAAGCTGGTCTCGAACTCTTGGCCTCATATGATCCTCCCACCTCAGCCTCCCATGTAGCTGGGTTTACAGGCATGAGCCATTGTGCCTGGCTCTCAATTTATGGTACTTTCAATTTATGATGGGTTTATCAGGATATAACCCCACCCTAAGTTGAGGAGCATCTATATATATAATTATGATCCCCATTTTTCAAATGTAGAAAAATGAGGTACACAAGTTATAGCTTGCCTAGCTCATAAGTGGTCGCCTTAATACAGAGCCCTTGTTTTTTCTTTTTGAGACAGAGTCTTGTTCTTGTCGCCCAAGCTGGAGTGCAATGGCACCATCTCGGCTCACTACAACCTCCGCCTCCCGGGTTCAAGCAATTCTCCTGCCTCAGCCTCCCAAATAGCTGCGATTACAGACACCCGCCACCACGCTCAGTTAATTGTTTGTATTTTTAGTAGAGATGGGGTTTCACCATGTTGGCCAGGCTGGTCTCAAACTCCTGATCTCAGGAGATCCACCCACCTCGGCCTCCCAAAGTGCTGGGATTACAGGTGTGAGCCACCATGCCCTGCAGAGCCCTTGTTCTTTTTTTTTTTCCTTTTTTTGGAGATGGAGTCTCGCTCTGTTGCCAGGCTGGAGTGCAGTGGTGCAATCTTGGTTCACTGCAACCTTCGCCTCTGGGGTTCAAGCGATTCTCCTGCCTCAGCCTCCCAAGTAGCTGAGAACTTCAGGTGCGTGCCACTAGGCCCGGCTAATTTTTGTATTTTTAGTAGAGATGGGGTTTCACCATGTTGGCCAGGCTAGTCTTGAGCTCCTGACCTCAGATGATCCACCCACCTCGACCTCCCAAAATGCTGGGATTACAGGCGTGAGCCACCATGCCCTGCCGAGCCCTTGTTCTTAACATTACTATATCAGGCCTCTCCCAGCAGTCTAGATGAGATGATGGTCATTTAGACAACAGTAGTGAGAATGAGAAAGAAAAAAGTGTCTAAGGTACACCAGTCTGATTTAGTGACTGACTGAAGTCTGGTGATAAAAGAAAGGGAGAAGTTAATGACACTTAGATGTGAACAAATAGAGAATTTTGGTGAAATACCAGGTTTGAATGGAAAAGATATTGAATTAGTTTTGCTCCGAACAAAAGACATCTCAGAGATATCTAGAAAGAAGAATTAAAAAAAGATGTATCAGCTTAAAGGGCCTAGGATACATCAGTTTAAAGTCAGAAAGGTCTGGGCTGGAAATATAGATTGGAGAGACCTTACCATATAATTGAAATTACTGAAGAGATGGAAGAGTATGAGGCCACTGGACAAATATGTAGAATGAAGAAAGGACTAAAACATAATCCTGAGGAAATAAACATTAGAAATCAAAGGAGACTGACATGGCATGACCAACAGGAGGAGGGTCACATAGGGTAAACTGTAGAGCACCTAGTTTCAGTGCTCTTCCACTCAAGTGCCTAAATATGGTGACAGGGCTGCAGAGACATAGTACTTATGGTTCCAGTGCCTGTACAGCCCTCACCTCACAAAACAGAGAGAATTCTTTCTTTTTTTTTGAGACGGCATCTCACTTCGTCACCCAGGCTAGAGTGCAGTGGCGCCATCTCAGCTCACTGCAACCTCTGCCTCCGGGTTCAAGCAATTCTCCTGCCTCAGCCTCCCAAGTAGATGGGATTACAGGCGCCCGCGACCACACCTGGCTAATTTTTGTATTTTTAGTAGAGACAGGGTTTCACCATGTTGGCCAGGCTGGTCTCAAACTCCTGACCTCAAGTGACCCGCCTGCCTCAGCCTCTCAAAGTGGTAGGATTACAGGCATGAGCCACCACGCCTGGCCAAGTTTCTATTTGATGCTTACATATCAGCAGGACTTTTCTTTGATAATCTAACAACCAGACTCCAAACTGAACAAATATTCAATTATTTCTAAAAAGGTATAGTAACCTCTATGTCAACAATTAAGATTCTCTGCAATAATTTCTAGGTTGCAAAGCAACCAAATATCCTATACACAGATTCAGGTACTGTCTAGAGAAGGAACTGCTCTATATAGAAAAGCTATTATGTGTTAGATAACACACTAAATCCTTTATATCCATTACCTCATTTATTGTTGCTATGAACACATAAAAAGGAAGATATATTGGCCGGGCGCGGTGGCTCATGCCTGTAATCTCAGCACTTGGGAGGCCGAGGTGGGCAGATCACAAGGTCAGGAGAGCGAGACCATCCTGGCTAACAGGGTGAAACCCTGTCTCTACTAAAAATACAAAAAATTAGCCGGGCGTGGTGGCAGGTGCCTGTAGTCCCAGCTACTTGGGAGGCTGAGGCAGGAGAATGGCATGAACCTGGGAGGCGGAGCTTGCAGTGAGCCAAGATCCTACCACTGCACTCCAGCCTGGGTGACAGAGCGAGACTCCATCTCAAAAAAAAAAAAAAAAAAAAAGGAAGATACATTAGCCTCATTTTAAAGATGAGAAATATGAGGATCAAACAGAGAAGTTGCCTTTTTCTTTCTTTTTTTTTTTTTTAAGAGAAGGGGTCTCCCTCTGTCACCCAGGCTAGAGTTCAGGGGCATGATGAGTGAGTTCAGAGGCTCACTACAGCCTCAAACTCCTGGGCTCAAGCAATTCTCCCACCTCAGCCTTCCAAGTAGCTGGGACTACAGGCGCATGCCGCCACACCCTCCTAATTTTTAAAAAAATTGTTATTTTTGTATGGAGTTGGTCTGCTATGTTGCCGAGGCTGGTCTGGAACTCCTGGCCTCAAGGAGTTGCTTGAGGTCGAGGCACCAGCATCTCTTGAGTCCAGTTCTAAACCAATCTGGGCAACATAGTGAGACCTCATCTTTACAAAAAATTTAAATGATTAGCCAGATGTGGTGGCACATGCCCATACTCTCAACTACTCAGGGGATAAGGTGGGAGGGCGCCTCAGGCTGGAAAGTGGAAGTTGCAGTGAGCCATGATCGTGCCACTGCACCCCAGGCTGGGCAACAAAGCAAGACCCCATCTCCAAAAAAATAAAAAGTAAAAAAAATACACGAATAAGATAAAAAACAGAGAACAGTCAGTGAAAGATCCAAAAGTTAACAAGTGTATTTATTGTTTATGTCCCATATCTCAATGGCATGTCTAATCATAAAAATGCTAAAATTAACAGATTTTTGTTCTTTAGGATGTTCTAATCTCATATTACTCTGATCAGATTATCATTGAACTCCTCTAAAAGAACATGTCTGTCTCTTTTTCTGTATACTTACTACAAGCGTATCAATAAGCTCAGTGCGTGAGACTAAGGTAAAACAAATAACCATTCGTGGTCTCATAAATAATTCTGGGCAATGAGAGCAGAACAAAATAAGTACATCCTATAAAATCGTCCTCTTGGTGCCTTCTAATTCCCCTGCCTCAGTAAACCCATTTCAGTAGTGCTGTTGATCCCATTACCTCCTCCTGTACCACGCTGCACCTGATAATCTTTTTTTTAA